GGAAGTTCTTAGCACACTTCTCAATGCCATTGCCGAGATGGCTGATGACCCTACATTCCCCCGCGGCTTTGACCTCTGTGTCAGTGTCATCAGCACAGATTTCCCCATGTCGACTCTGTTCAAGGAGCTCAAAGACGCCAACGTCTGGCAGCGCATCCAGGACCGCATCAAGAATGCACTCGAAGACGACTTCCTGGAGTTGCTCAATGGACGATTTCCAGCCTCGATAATCCTGTATGCGCAGTGGTGCCCGACCAGCAAGGAGGACAAGTACGATGCCAATGTCGACGCCTGGTTTGGCAAGTTCCGAGAGCTCAAGAGCCTGTTGGAAGACTTCTCGCTTCAGTTTGGAGAGTTCGACATGGAGATGTCGGATATGACTGGGCAGTGGATCTTCCCCAGAGCGCGCGAGTTTGACCTCCCATACGTCAAGCGCACATACTCGACCAACTCCACCAGCCTCACAAAGGACAAGTGGGTTGATGCTGTGGTTGATCGCATTGACCTCATCTATAACCCTGAACAGTACCTCAAGGGACATGAGGGTGAGAAGGATTATGAGCGTTTCATGCGATGTAAGCTGTCAGTTCAAATCCAGTGCTTTGGAGGCAAGAACTCGCGCTTCTTCGTCAACAGAGACAACGGCACATCCTACAGCTGGAGAGACTCGTCTGTTGTCCAGACTTTGGACTGCTTCCACGAGCCCGATGAAGATTCCAGGAAGCTGGCTCAATCATGGCAAGCCAAGAACGATCAGATTATGAACGGACCTGACAGCCCGTTCAGCAAAAAGGATAGACGTCTTCTTTGGGGATCCTACGGTGATTGGAACCTGGGTGATGAGAAGATCTGGAAGTGCTACTACGAAGATGAGGAGAAGTACAGGCGGCTTGGAAAGGCCAGAGCACTCGCTGATCCCAACGGAACGTTTACTGCAAATCCGTTCGCAATTACTGCAATCAACAATGCAAAGTTATGAACGGGACTATGTACTGCTCTAAAAACTGGACTGGGCGGAAAACTTGTATGTTAAGGATTAGGTCAAATTTGTACCCCAAATTGTTTGTAGTCTAAAATTGCATTACTCTCATCACATTGCCATTCTCAGCGCCAACATTTTGCCAATATCCGGAGTCCCCAACCCAGTGACAGCGTCCCAGCCAGCCACTGAGGGCCAACTCGCGTTCGGCACAAGCTTGGCTCCGAACTCAGGCGGGAACTTTTGCGTGCCAAAACCAGTTGTGCCAGTGCAGCCCACGGACTGCCCAGCAGACACGTCGTTGATGGCTTGCAACCCAGCGCCATATAGCCATGGATTGATAAATCCCATTGGCGGCTTTCCCGCTTGGATGAGAGCGGCGTTAACCATGCCCACCATGCCTGCCCAGATTGGAGCGGCGGCGCTGGTACCTTGGAAGCCACCTAGTTGGCCGCCCGTCACGAATGTGAGGTTGAAGCTTTGGGCGCTAACGTCTGGGAAGCCTCGGCCTGATGCGTTGAAGAGGCCGTTGAACTGGGTGCCAATGGTGTTCTTCAAGTACGCCGGCACAACTTGTTCTTGGTATGTCGGTCTGGCGAACTTGTCCGAGAACCCACCGCTCGAGAAGTCGCTGGCCCTCTCAGGCGCGATACCCCTCACCCCGCCAACTCCTGTGACAAAGGGGCATGATGCCGGAAAGACGGCATTGAAACGCGTGCTGTTGGTACCGTCGTTCGTGACACACGTGTTGCCCGGTCCAGAGTCACCCGACGCGGCAAACATCGTAACGCCCCGGGCACCAAGTGCACCGAACTGATCGCAAATTTGCTGAACATAGCCGTCCGGAAGTGACTGTTCGTTCTCGCCGAAACTAGTAGTGATTGTGTGAGGAAGCTTTTCGTCGGGTAGCTTGAGCATCGCGTCTAACCAGATCAGCCAAGGTTCCGTCGTGTCCCCAGGTTGACCGCCTAGTTCGAGCTTGATTGGTCCATCTCCCGCCACGGCGGTGACGATGTTGGGTACCGGGTTGGACAGTGAAGCCGTATACTGAACGTCGAAGTTGAGTTCGGCGTTTGAGAACTTGTTCTGAGCCTGATCTGTTGTGCCATTATTGATGCTAAGGAAAGAAAACTTCACTTCCGTTGATGGTTGATCGACGTTCTTGGCAAACAGGGCAAAGTCGTCAAATTTGGCAACCTGATTCTGCGAAGCGTAGATACCAAGACCTCGGGCCAGACTGACGTTCATTTTGGCAGGAACATTATACAGAGATCGTATGCAGTTAGGTGTGATGGTCCTGTTACACGTAGGATCGACTTGTGCTTGCGATGCGGGTGGTGTAATCCTATCTACCTGTGCCGTGTAAAGAAGTTTCGGGTTCACCCCAGCCAACGACCTCTTCACCTTCCGGAGCTCGTCGCGGGGGGTGTCGTCGGCAAGAGGCGCAACCATGGCCGATCCTTGGTGCATCATCGGGTGAGAACAAAATCTCGTCGACGGAGTGATTAACGAGATCTTGTTCTTCAACTCCAAGGGTAAAGAATACTGCAACGTCCGCAGCACTTCCTTGCCGCTGTCAATGTTTCGAAACCATCTAAAGTCTGCGTCGAGCAGATTATTCGCCTTCTTCACCGTCGTCTGCACTTTGATCCAATGACCGTCGCTTTCTATATCTGCCGCTGTTGCGTTCCCGTGTTCCTGAAGCCAGTTTATGATGATGTCTCGTGACTCCGTATCGGGGTTGAGAAGTGCTTGTGCCTCCTCCCGAGAGAGGTGCCTGCCGTAAAGCTCATGTCCCGGCGTGGAGACACTATAGAGGGCCCGTTCTACATGCCTGCTTCTATCGGCTGCGATGGATATGCTGAATAGATGATTTGAATCTGTGGGACGAGAGAGTGTCCATCCCGATGGTGGATCTCTACTATACTCTACTTGTATTGAGCCAGCTCTCGAAGCGATGGCAAACGGCCCGATGAAGGAAATAACTGTAAACGCCGCAAGAAGGATAAGCATCTTGCAAAACGAGTTCGTGCCCTAGGCACCGGACTATCAGACAAAATTACACAGCAAGAAAGGAATAGAACAGGCCGAATATTTGCAAATAGCTTAAAACGTTTCGCGGGGCATTTGGGGAGGAAGTAGTAATAAGACCTTGAGACCTCGTTCGTGTTGCACCAGGACGGCCGTATAAACTACAAAGCCTCCTGGTTCATTCGGCACTTGACTAACGAGCGAGCAGTTCGAGTCAATTATCGAAACATAGCCTAAAGCTAAAGATGCGGGCGTCGCCACGGCCGAAACTTGTCTGAGTATGGGTCCACCTGATGTCGCAGTATCTCTCTATGGTCGAGGGTCACATCGTTAGTCAGTTTCAGGTTTCCAAGGGGACGGTCTTTCACCAGCATCCCGCCTCAGGTCACTTCAAAACTCCGGATTCATCGGGTCTCTGCCCCTCGTCTTACGAAACCATTGCAGAGTCGGCTGCTCTGTCGATTAGAAGAATATGGGGCCCGAAATGGTTGTTCCAGCTCAACCGTAACGAGAGTATGCTCAAGTGTGTTGATGTTTGAGGAATCATGACTTGATGAAGAACTCTCCGGTTCTCGCAGGCTTTACTTAGCCTTCGCCAGGTCTAGATCTTGTTTTCTTGGTACCTGCTGATCAGTCAGTCAAGGAGATCGCGGAACATGGTCGAAGGCCTATATCTGATGAAAGACTCATTGGATGGAGATTCAGTTGCGGAGGAAGCTTCATCCTCATACACCTTTCCAAAGATTACGGTATTGAGACCGCACGAACTTCAAAAAGTCCGCTAAGGCACCACAAAGACCACATGATGGAAAACGAGTACGAAATTGGTGGTTGTTGGACACTTCTTCGTTTGGACGATGGACTATTCCAAATGTAGCTAGAATCCGAAAGCGAATGAAAGTCAAATGTGTAGTGTTCCATCCAAAAGAATGTCTGTACCTACAATAAGCTTTACGGTAAGATTGTACAGCAAAAAGTGTGATTTTTGTAAGCGCGATGGAATCTTCGGACATAGTCTTGAACCCGAGACGATCGTCAGCCAGAGAAAGCTTGAACCATCCGAAGCCTGAGAGAAGGCGGCTCCTTCATGAAGGGGCTTGATCACGGGAAGGGGCGTGCTTGGGATAACTTGGGGGAGCACAGCCCGTGAGACGTTTCCAACGCGCGTCAATTATGCAATGAGTATACAAGGCCTACCTTACGTGACTCGAACCTCACATTCGTGGTGACGGGAAGGAAACCTTCTTTCTCCGATCCGCAAATTCCATCTAGACTAGTCGGGATCTTTCAAGCTGCAGCTGTACCCTTCTAGTATTACTTAATACTGAACAGCTGATACAACGTTGGTTAATACACCGTCTTGGGTATTAAGTTGAACAGCCTACAGGCACCCAGAAACCTATCGCCTCTTGCTACAAAGCGGTGTCAAACAACACTCTCCTCTCAGATATAGTCTGAATAGGCTGCGTTGATGATCACTTTCTATGATGAATGTCTCGAATTATGTTTGGGCTGGTGATATTGCGGGCCGGAGCTTTTGACATACAGGTACTTCGGCATATCTACGCAGAGATGCCGTCCTATTCTCCTTTCTCTCTCAACAAGACAAATAGATTTATTGCAGGCTGGAACAGTGGCTTACTGGCTAATGACGACCAAGTTGGTCTGGTTACTTCCGTATATTTCACTCCCTATTATCAGCTTTGACTAAAGACAGAAACTGCAAGCCTTATTATTGTTTCTAAAGTGACGGGAAGTTCTTCAACGTCATAGGCATCAAAATCCAACTGCAAATGTTATGATATGGGCTCGTTGGCTACATTGAAATCGATATAGTTCTTTTACCCATTGAACAACCCCTCAATGCAAGCAATTCAGAGAAAAGGCTTGAGCAGATGCGTCGATGTTGTAATTCGTATTTCCCCTTTTATACCACGACTTCACAATTCTACATCTAAGAAGCCTTCGCAAGAAATGGAGAGGTCGAGGCTTAGGCCGGATTTCCTCTCAAATTTGCCCCCCCCCCCCCTTCCCCTTCGCCAACAATATCATCCCAGCCCTCATCATCGGTCTCTCGAAGCACACCGCACCGAATCAAAAATTCGACGTTCTTCTCAGACCAATATGTCGAGAGACCTACGTTGCGGAACTGTTTGCGGTATGAGTCGTGAAACTTGCAGGTGCCTTCCTTTCTAGAAGTCCCGGTGTTGCTGATGTATGCTGAATTACTGTGGTTTAAGTACCAGATAACGACACAATCCTCTTACTGGGCAGGTCATTCACCTCTATTTTCAGCATACCAAGCTCCATATGGATTGTCATGGGGTTTGGGTACGTACACAATTTCATCCGAAAGAAAAGAAGCCCAACTTAAGGCATGGTTGGGGTTTTCTGTAGCAGAGCCGTGATGATTTTCGGATTGTCGTCGGCTTTGCGATTCACGATAGTCAATGGGGGTCTTTTTAACATCATTCGTGAGTGATTTTCCAGCCCAGACTCCCAAACCGAGGACGTCAGTCTTGCGATCGGATTCGGAAAGATGTGGCGCACTCTGGACAGCCAGTTTCTGTCCGTTGCGGTCGATTGATTCGGTCGCCGTCAATTCGCATTGGGCCTCGCTCGAAGCCTTCGTGCTGCTTTGAGCTCGAGCCGCTTCACTGTCCGAATCACAGTTACTGGGTTTGGGTACTTCCAGGAACTTTTTTCCATAGTCGTCGGCATGTCTGAAACTCATGTCGTACTGTGGGCTGGCAGGGTGCCCGTCACCGCGCGCATCTTTCCGGTCGTTAATATGAAGATCATTTAGTTCCGAGAGTAGGCCCTCAGCTGGGAGTTCTTCTGTGTTGTGGATGAATATTGCTGGTACTTTGCTCATTGCTTCTGAAAACTGGCTTGACTTGGAGCGGAGGGACAATTGCGTAACTTCGGTAGTGATGGTTATCGAAGGAATGCCGGATGTTGGTTCAGATTCTAGGTACTTCCGATATAGGACTGTGTGGGAAGGGGACATGTGATATTTTCCCCCTTAGCAACAGGTTTTATACTCGTCATTACTGTACATCCTAAAGATGGCAACTCGCATCACGTTGTTTGCATCCCAGAGGTGAATTGCAAGGTTCTAAGACGGATGGTTTGACGTCTGCGGGTGTTTGGATGTTGGTAAGACGCGGTAGGTTATCCCATGCTACCTGAACAACAAGGACCAAGCAAGCATGATATGTTGCTTGATACTATGTAGAAATTTGGGCAATCTGGCGATGGAGCCAATGGTGTTGGAACTTCGCAAAAGGTGGAGAGTGGGTGTTGTTCATTATGGCCATCGAGTGATTCGCCATTGTGTCTTAGGGGAACGTGTGTCTGACGCCAAGACGGCGCATCGAATTAAGTAGGACAAAGAAAGCACTGGGAATGAGGCAAGTCGACAGATCCAAGCACGACCATGATGCAAACTCCAGAAATTACCGATTGTTCAACGGCCAGAATCACTTGGGTGGGCTCTGGCCATTGTGGCGGTGTTTTTGGCCTTTCATCACGATACGGGTAGACGTTCCGGTGAAGATTAACTCAATGGTTGCTTTTCTTAGCTAATTGAACATGCATATGTTCGTTGTCGCTTGTGCTTGGTAGACTTACCAGGGCAACGAGGCGGTAAAAGAGCGACCAGGATACCTCGTTGAACAAAAGGCTGTAGACTCTGGCTGTTTTACCGCGTCAAGGACTGTTGGTACTCACTCCTCTGACCTCGAGTGATCATTCACTTTTCAAAACCTCATGAATTGATACGGATGGATACTCATTCTCAAGAGCATTCTCGTAGTAAACAAGCAATGTCAAAAAGTATTTCCGCTGACTCTCGAGATCGCGGTACCTGGGTAGGCGACATCCAGGCGGCGGTGGCTCACAAGAGAGCAAACCGTCTCAGGAAAAGAGAGTGGGAAAAGTAAACCTCGGTGAGGTCGACCCGGGCTCCCGGACCGGAACTCACCCACTGCCGGTATCATGCGCTCGAGGCTATCAGAATGACGGAGACCGAGAGTCAACAAACTCAATTGATAGACAAATATCTCGCTGGCGTCGCAGAAGCTTCTCATCACGAGTCTTGTATTATGACGTTGAAGTTTAGCGCCGGAAGGACGGCGTCAAATTCGCCCAACCACCTGATCAGATCATCCCTTCAGAAGATGACCCCACGACTCAGGGCATCAGCGGCGCTGCCGGTGGGCATTGTGTTCCTCAGAAGTTCGATTGCAAGCGAGAGCGAGTTCTGGCCAAGCCGGATTAGGATTGCGAAAAGAACAGCGGGGATTCGGGGGGGACGGGGAAAGCGAGAGATATGCGGGCTAGCTAATCACGGCAGTGTCTTGGCTTTCTCCGACCCCGTTCAGCCAACCCAGGATCTGCATTCAGAGCGTGGTAGGGGCAATAGGCAGCAAATTAGACTTTTTTGCCAAAGGACTGAACCTGACTAGGCTCGACTTATTCGCGGGTTCCGGCCGGCCAACACGTCGGGGTGTCGGGTTGGAATACGCGGATAGCTCGCTGTCTCTCCCTCAGCCCCCACGTGATGGCATGGCACTTTTCTCTTTGCAGTCTCTTCATGGAGATGGGTGTTCCTAGGAAAAAGGGAAAAGGGGACCAAAGTTCTGCATCTGACATAAACAATCATCGCAAATTGACTCCCCGCGATCTGTGAGGCGTCTGCATTGTACAGTCGCGACAACTCGACAGCCCTCTCCGTGAGCAGACGCAGATTGTCTGTTGAGAGCGCAATCTCACGCCCGATTCACTCACCGGCCTCCCGCTCACCTTTTTATGAGGGCCGTTCCGCGACATCCGACGCCGTAGCAACCGCCAGGAAGAGGCCCCATCATCAACCCGTCCTCACAATCTCCGTGAACTGTCAACCATGACCGAGCCCTCGTCCGCCGACAATGGCGGCGGCATCGTAGGCCGCGTCCGGGGCGCGTCCCTCTCCATCATGAACGCGAACCCGCAATTGGGCATGTGGCAGGCCGCCGGCACAGCAATCGCCCAGGCGCCGAATCTCACCGAGCTCCGCGACCCCGAATCCGGCGGCGATAACATCGCCTTCACGGCGCAGGGCCACTCGGCGCGCTACGCCGTCCAGGAACCCCACGGCGACCTGGCGCTCATCCGATCCAACACGAGTCGGCGCGCGTCGACGTTTTCTATTAATGGGCAATCGTCTGCCGGTGGGCGAAACGTGTTTAACGATAAATCAGAAAATATCAGGGAAACGGACGAACCCGCTGTGCTGAATGAGACTTCGGACGAAGCACGGCCGGGGACGGGGACGCATGATGAGAGCCTGCTGCCCAGCGAGGGTCAGCAGTTCCAGCGGCGACAGAGTCTGTATCAGAAGCACGCGGCGGAGGAGAAGGCGCCGTGGAAGACGACCATTGTCAATGGGTTGAAGGCATTTTGGAAGTTCTTCCTCACGCCGTCAGGGTTTGTCATCACCATCTACTGCTTGAATATTGTCGTAAGTATTCCCACCTCAGCTGCACGGCCTCTTTGCAAATGAGACATGCTAACATGAGTTGACTCTTAGGCCTGGGGAGTAAGTTCACATCATGATGTATGAAAATGAAGCTGTCCATACTGACCCACCCTTCCAGGCTATGCTCTTCTTCCTCCTCCTCAAGGCCGCACCAGCAATGAACTACCCAACCGCCGACGACGATAACTCACCCCGCAAGAAATGGCTCGAAATCTCCAGTCAGATCCTCAACGCCCTCTTCTGCGTAACGGGCTTCGGTCTCGCGCCCTGGCGCTTTCGCGACCTGTACTGGTACATCCGCGCCGTCAACTTCAAGAACCAGGCGGCGATGCTCAAGCTCGCGGCGCAGAATAAGAGCTGGTTCCGGCCGCCTGCGTGGGCTCTTCAGGGCGAGAAAGCGCCTGAGACGTTTACTGGCCAGGTCGCGCCGCCGACGGCGCTGTGGAAGCTGGGGTTCACGATTTGGATGATGGTTTGGAATACGTTCTTGCAGGCTGTGTTGTGCTATTTCATGTGGGGATACAACCGACTTGATCGACCTGTGAGTACCCTCTCTGACTCTACTAATGGGCGGTACGCCGTAACCATGGTGTCAGACCCGACTTTGTGAATGGTACTAACAAACGAGTCCAGTCATGGGCTACTGGCACCTTCATCGGCTTGGGATGCGGTGTCGCTATGCTTGCCGGTCTCATGTCCTGGTGGGAAGGCCGGAAGGTGAAGCAGATTGAAGGACCAGAGGTTAAGGTCGTTGAAGGAGAGCCCGGAGAGGTGTAATACATAATTTCTAATTTAGTGTTACCTAGCATAAGGTACATGTAGACATAGAGGTGGCCTGAGAGGTAGACTCAGCCTTTATTTTAGAGCGATGTGAGTTGCAGGAGGCAGCTCACGACTACGATGGATAATGATATGTAGATACAGCATCCGCACCCGAAGTCGCAGGCCTTCTTTCTATCTTTCGGTCTTTTCAAGCCAGAGAGCTCTCAACATATAGCTTGACAGTTTGGAGCATCGAAGGTCTGCCTATCGAGCTAAGTTGATGCCCCGGCTTAAGGTGACCTCCAGGGTAGTGAGTGTGAGAGCGCAATGAGGCTCATATGAGCTGCTAACAGGCTGATGAGGGAACTGCAGCAACCCAACGAATTCACCTAATAGCTTAAACCCATATGGAAGTTTTGTTATTATGAACGCCATTTTATGTCATTCAGGACTCATACAAAGTCATCATATTCGAGATCCAGTGAGCTTCCACATGTGAAAGTTTGAAGACAACCTTACCTACACTGATACAGGGCGATCTCACTGCTCTCCCACGTCCCTCCACACAAAGTTATGATTGACTTATCTAGACTTCCGATAATCGGAACAAGGTTAAAATATTACCATTCGCTCACAACTAATCGCATAAGAAGCTGCGGGTATGAATATCGCGGCATGAACCAGACGTAATTCCGACAGCACAGGCATGGATATCGAGAGTACTTCCATTTCCACACGATAAGTGACCACACCAAAGTACCTCAAGATGTAGCTGGCCTGTGCTTTTGCCACCCCACAAGCGTCACGCGGGATTGAATTAGTAGTCTCGCGATGCCTCGGATCTTCTTTCCATTATCTCTTTACTCCTCGTCTTCATCTTCACTTCTTTTCACTTTTACTCTACAACCCAAGGCTTAAGCCGACAAGATGTCTATATCCCAGGCATCACTCTCGGTCGCAATCTTGGCCTCCACCATCGGAACCTACATAGGCCTCCTAAACCCCAACCCCGAACCACCTCAAAAACCAAACAACGACCTTCACCACCACAACCACCATCACCATCACCAACCGCAAACCAAACACGCAGACTCGATCCGCTGGATGCACCTCACCCACAGACACACCCCCAAAGTAATCCTTCTTCCCCTCGCCCTCCTCTCCCTCCACCTCGCCGCCCTCACTCTCTACACACCCAACATTCCGCCCTCCATCCTCCGCCACGGCGCCGAAAACGGCCTCAGCGCCTCCCTAACAACCTGGTCCGCCTCAACCCTCCTCCCGCTCGCCGCAATCTTCTTCGCCGGCGTCCCGCTCCGCCTCGGACCCTACCGCTCCCTCGGGAAAAACTTCACCTTCCAGCTCACGAAACCGGATCAGCTCAAGACGACGGGGATTTACAAGTACCTCCAGCACCCGAGCTACACGGGCGTCATTGTTCTCGTGCTTTCCAATGTCGCGCTGCTGGCTAGGCTCGACGGCGTGCTGAGCTGCTGGGTTGCGCCGGCGTGGCATCAGGGGTTGAGGAGCGTGCAGTGGGTTCTTGGGCCTGCTGCGTGCTGTGTGTTTTTGTTTGGTGTGTGGACGAGGGTGAGGGAGGAGGAGGGCATGTTGAGGGAGGAGTTTGGGGAGAAGTGGGAGAGGTGGCATGCTTCCACGGCGCGGTTTGTGCCGTATATATTCTGATTTGAGGCGCTTGTCTTATGATTATTGGGTTTGATATCCCTGGTAGACTAGACTATTCATTTCGGACATTTACTTGATGACTTTGAATATGTGATTTCTATTTTGGACTCTTCCATCTCTGGGAAGATGTCGCTTTCAGCATGTCAGTCCTGGAATGGGCTCAATAGAAAAGTTAGTCTTCTCTTCTTCTCTCAACACTCCTCATCTGCCTCCATCACGAACTTGAAACCCATAACTTCAACCCCCAATACTTCATCTTGAAGACAACCAACTTCCCAATCACCACTCACCTCTCTCACTAATCTCCGCTCCAAACCATCCCGGTCCGAGGTCTCCAAGTTCCACAACAGAATGGATCCAACCAACAACCAATCCACAACACCAAAAACCATGCATATTGCTCCACACCTAGGGCCACACACCCTCCACCACAGTCCGCATCCTTCCATGAACACCTCACCATCGTCAAATCATCATCCAATCAACAAGGCAAGATGGCCGAGCGGTCTAAGGCGCTAGCTTCAGGTGCTAGTCAAGTAATTGGCGTGGGTTCGAATCCCACTCTTGTCAACACATCACCGCTCTGATGCGTTATTCTTTTGTCTCTTTGGCTTTGGTGTGTGGGGAGGTTGATTTTTGCAGTATTGGGTGGATTATGGGTATACGTGACGATAGGAAGTGGCTTGCGGGGTTAACCGTCATTGGGCGAGTTGATGTAAGGAACAATTGAGGTAGGCATGATGAAGTCGAAGTAGACATGCGGGCATGCTGGCAGACCTTCGCCAAGTGTCGTTCTCAAAGTCCTTGATGCAAGATAATTTGAATTGGATATCGGAGCTCCTTGAAAATCAAAGAACAGACTACCAATAACACGCTATCCATATCAACTCCAAACCGAGTTCATGCCTCGTGTTGTGCCATGCGTGACCACGAGTTCAGGCATCTCAAAGCTGCGATACCCCATTCTGGCGATCAAGTTTCGCCTTCTCCCTCTTGGCATCCGCAATCTTGATACTCAACTTAACAGGCTTGCCGCCCGGCGTCTCAAAGATGGTATCAATCTCCTCCAGGTTCAGCTTACTCGTCTCAGGGAAGACGTAGTAGCTAATGATAATCTGAATAAAGTTGTACACAATGTACACGGCCCAGATCTTGTACCCAACTTTCCCGACGCCGATGCCGATACCATAGTTGTGCACCACGGCCGCGATGGCCTGGAACATGGCAAACAGGCCCATGCCCTTGGCACGCAACGGCAGCGAGAGCAGCTCGACCGGGTAGAGGTTGTGCATGGTCGCGATGAAGGTGGCGCTGCAGACCTGGAAGAGGTAGATCCAGACGACCGTCAGGATGGCCGTTGTCTTCTGCTCGCTGAGGTTATACTGCCAGCTCGTGATGGTGACGGCAATCTGGGCGCAAATCATGCTAATCAGTCCGGCGAAAATGAGGGTGCGACGACGGAAGTAGTCGATGATATAGGAGCCGAAGAGAGTGAAGACGAAGTAGATCGCCGTCGAGCCGAGGCTGATGCCGAGTTGGTCGAGTTGCGAGGTGATACCGATTGTGTCGAGCGCGGGAGCCAGGTAGTATCCGATGATGCCACCACTGTTGGTGATTTATGTGAGCATTGACAGCAATAAAGAGCGAGGGGGTTCAGAGAGATAACGTACCCATTCCACTGTTGGAAAACAGCGTAGACAGCCAGGACAACGGTGCGGAACCACACGGCCTTGGTGAAGAAGACCCGGAAATCCCAGGTAGCGCGGAACCCAGCCTTTGTGGTCTCGATAGACTCCTCAATCTGCAGGATCATGAGGTCGACAATCTCGTGGTTGATGTCGTTGTCGGTCGTCATGTACCTTGCCACGACGCGACGGGCTTCCTCCTTCTTGCCGCGCATGTAGAGGAAACGAGGCGACTCTGGGCACACGAAGTAGATTGTGACACACACGAAGAGAGGGAAGATGGCCTGGATGAAGAAGGCTATCCGCCACTGCCAGTCGCTGTCCCAGTTCGTCAAACCCATCATGATACCAATCATCATCAGCGAGCCGACCTGGAAACACGCGCCAAAGACACCAACGAGGCGACCACGAAGGTGTACAGGCGCAAGCTCGGCAACGTACTGCGGCGCGGTGCAAAGCGCTGTGCCGAATCCAAGGACGAGACGGCCGATGAAGAGACAGGCCAGGTTCGGGGCCATGGCCTGCATGATAGCAGCGATGATGACGAGAGCGTTGCCGAGGAAGTTGACACCCCGACGGCCGAGGACGTCGGCGCAGCTCAGGAAGGGAGCACCCAAGAAGCCACCAATTTGCATCAGGGCGTTGATCGTGGAGATGATGACACCAGCGTTGCCGAACCCGTAGAAGTCGTGCCATCGGTCGTTGGAGTTGATTCCGCTGATGACACCCCAGTCGATACCGAAACTATTCACAGAATGATCAGCACCATCATCCCTTTACCTCCGTCAAAGACAAACAGGATCCGTTGTTTCCTTACCCTGCTTGGTTGCAGCCCATCACGAGCATGTATCCAAAGATGTAAAGGCCGGTCTTGGACTTCAGTGTAAGGGCCTCAGCTGACTTACGCATCATGTCAGCCTCTGAGATGCGGGTTGCCGCAACTTCTTCGACGGCAACACCAATCTTATTCGCCTGAGCGACATCGTCGTGAAAGATGACCGTGTGGTCAACATCTTCTCGAGGCGCCATGATTGGCTAGACGTTCTTGCTTTGGCGCAGAAGACCGCTTCGTGAAGTCTCCTCAGGTGAGGATCGAGGCAAATGGAAACGCGGGTGAAGAAACGAGAAGCCCGAGTCTCTGGGACCGTAGGATCTCAGGTTGCAGCGGTGCCTCGGCGGATATATAGAGCTTCCCCAACCTCAGCTCTGGGAGCGGGAAGACACGACCAGAAGGGCTGCTTTCATCCTGCACTGCTACCCTTCTAGTGCAACACGGAATGGCCTTCCGATAGCTGGGTCCCGAGCCCTGAAGAGGGATGCGATCCCCAGACTCTCAGACGTTCCAACTGGCCATGTGGTTCACATGAGATGCTCCTTGCAGCACGAACCAGTCCAAATCCACTGCCGATTCCCCTTCCTTCGCCTCTAGAGCAGCCTCTGTATTTCCCTTAGATCCACTCAACAGCTCAGACAGCATCGGCTTTGTCTGATGATGATTGGCTGGGGCGGTTGTAAACATGCAGTTGGATCAGACCAGGCATCACATCCCTCCGGAATGAGCATATTCGGTCTGCTTTCACCCGTGATGATTGGCTCGAGGCAAACGGCCGGCCGGCTACCCCACACTCCCCGAGCCAATTTTCCTCAAATGATACGACGCCGAGGCTTCTACCCCAGTCCATCGTGGGTTGTCTGGGGTTAAAGTCGCCTAGGGCCGCCCGGCTCTCATCGTCTTTGAAAGAGGGCTTTTGGACGGCCAAAACAGATTCTGATCACCAGCTCATCAGAGTTTTGTCTCTTCCCCAACCCCGTTTGTCTTGGAAGTTTGCGGTCCAGACTAGACCAGAACGTCTCTCGAAGTAGTCCAATCCGGGCACCGGCATACCGGCACGTCGTTCCCAGGCAAAATGCCCCCCGTTCATGGTCCAGAAAGCTTCGGCTCCGGCTCCGGCGAGGGCCGATCTCCCAGTTCCTCGCGTCTCCACTACCAGTTCCCTGCCTCCGAATGGTCTGAAGCTCTACCAATCGGCAACGGGCGGCTGGGTGCCATGGTCTATGGGCGAACTGACATCGAGCTCTTGCAGTTGAATGAGGACTCGGTGTGGTACGGCGGGCCGCAGGACAGGACACCAAAGGACGCCCTCCGCCACTTGCCGACACTCCGACAGCTCATCCGAGATGAAAAGCACGCCGAGGCCGAGTCTCTCGTGCGAGAGGCCTTCTTCGCGACGCCGGCCAGCATGCGACACTATGAACCGCTGGGCACTTGCACCATTGAATTCTGTCACGCCACTGAGGATGTCACGGACTACCGCCGATACTTGTGTCTGGAAACCGCGCAGATGACTGTCGAATATCAATGTGGTGGTGTCTCTTACCGTCGAGACACCATTGCCAGCTTCCCAGATAATATTTTGGCGTTTAGGATCACGGCATCGGAGGCCGCTCGATTCGTCATTCGACTGAACCGAGTCAGCGAGATTGAGTGGGAGACCAACGAGTTCCTCGACAGCATCGACGCAGTGGACGGGCAGATTACACTGAGTGCGACGCCTGGCGGACGGAATAGCAATCGATTGTCTATTATTCTCAAGGTTTCTTGCGATGACGCTGCAGGATCCGTAGAGACTGTCGGTAACTGTGTCGTGGTGACCTCTTCAGCGTGTACGATTGCCATTGGTGCTCAGACGACCTACCGAGAGAACGAGCCCGAAGAAGCCGCTAGGGGTGATGTCCTCAAGGCACTGAAAACCCCGTGGGCCACGCTGGTTGATCGTCATCAGGTGGACTATCGGAACCTCTTTGGTAGAACGACACTTCGTATGTGGCCTGATGCCGACCATCTCCCAACAGATCAGCGAATCAAACAGAACCGAGATCCCGGGCTGATTGCTCTATATCAGAATTACGGTAGGTATTTGCTCATCTCGGCAAGCCGAGACTCTGTCAAGGCGCTGCCTGCGACGCTGCAAGGCATCTGGAACCCTTCTTTTGCTCCACCTTGGGGATGCAAGTATACCATCAACATCAACCTCCAGATGAACTATTGGCCAACCGGACCGTGTAACTTGACCGAATGTTCTGTTCCGATGCTCGACTTGCTAGAGCGCATGGCGGAGCGAGGGAAAAAGACGGCAAAGACCATGTACGGCTGTGGAGGATGGTGTGCGCATCACAACACTGATATCTGGGCAGATACAGACCCCCAAGACCGATGGATGCCCTCTACTATCTGGCCTCTCGGGGGCGTCTGGGTTTGTATCGACATATTTGAGATTTTGCAGTACCAGTATGACGAGATCCTTCACAAGCGAGCCGCAACTGTCTTGGAGGGTTGTATCGTTTTTCTTCTCGACTTTCTAGTGCCATCAGCTTGCGGCACATACTTGGTAACGAACCCATCGCTATCACCCGAGAACACTTTCATCTCTGATTCAGGCGATGCTGGTATTCTCTGCGAAGGTTCCGCCATCGACATGACTATTGTTCGAATAGCCTTTGAGAGATATCTTTGGAGTACTGATAAACTGCGCGTTAACAGCCAGTTGCGAACCAAGGTGATAGAGGCCCTCGGCAGGGTGCCCGAGTTGTCTGTCAACGCCGACGGCTTGATACAAGAGTGGGGAGTAAAGGACTACAAAGAGCTTGAGCCGGGCCATCGACATGTCTCCCACTTGTTTGGGTTGTACCCGGGAGAAAGCATCAGCCCTGGGAGATCTCCAGAACTAGCGACTGCTGCAAAAAGAGTACTGGAACGAAGAGCAGCGCATGGAGGTGGGCACACGGGGTGGAGCAGGGCTTGGTTACTCAATCTCCATGCTCGACTCCTGGATGCCGAAGGCTGCGGCCAGCATATGGATATGCTGCTTAAGAGCTCGACGTTGCCAAACATGCTCGATAATCACCCGCCGTTCCAGATTGACGGCAACTTTGGTGGGTGTGCCGGCATCCTCGAGTGCTTGGTTCAGTCCAGTGTCTCGCAAGATACCACAGAGAAACATGTAGTCGAGATTCGACTTCTCCCGTCATGTCCCATAAGCTGGCCCGATGGTGAGCTTTCACGGGTTCGAACTAAGGGTGGATGGCTTGTGACGTTGGAGTGGCAGAGCAGCAGTATCAAAGAGCCGGTATTGGTGGAATACCCTAGTGCTGAAAATGCTGAGGCTCAAGTTGTTTTCCCCGATGGTTCTCGGACGATTGTGTGTGGCGGTGCGCCATTGTCCAAGCAATATGTAGAGCGCCAAGGATAGAAAGGCTAGAATTGTTGATGATCCCAGCCACTTTCATCAATAGACGGACGGCAGAGCTTCGAAGCTTTTTGAGGTTGCTCATGATTCTACATGCAATCTTCTCATTCACCGTCAGCTCAATTTCGATTTGCCGAGCATGCGAATACACATGATAAGTCTGTTGCTGCGTAATTTTTACAGAATACGGACGCTCGTCCCGAAAGATTTGCGGAGTTTGGCTTTGAGGAGAATTCGGGTGAAGATGATAAATTGGCAAGACAACAACACATGGACCCCTCATTTCCCACGTTTATTTGGCGACCGAGATTTCAGTGCCGCGGCGAACGTACGTTGTCTGCAGGGCGCAAATGGCCCGAGAGCCGGCACCATGACCGCCACTTCCGAGCGGTTGGCGTGAAACATTGGAGACTTTGAAGTTGGGAGCCTTTTTCAGTCAAAGGGCCGTGGTATCGGCGCGAGATGGATCTTTTGGTCATTGGATCAGGGTCCGCCGAGAGGTTGCACATGCGCCGGCCGTCCGGTCCGTTACGACGATATCGATTGGACGGTTGTATCGGAAGCGACATGAGGACGGAGGGGACAACTTGTATCTGCGACGGGTGTGACGATCGCCGGCCGGGCAGAAATTGGCGACGGAAAATGCGCGGAGCACTGGAACGGAGCTCCCTGCTTATTGAGGAGGATCTCCCGCGTGCGTATCCGTTGGACTAGTGCAACTTGGAACTAGTGAGCCGGTAATTTTTGGAAGGTTAGGTGCATGAGAGGATGACCTAGGATTTTGGTGAGCAAATGGGCGACTTTCTTAGCTTTGTAGAGTTGATGGTGGCATGAGACGGATGGATTTCCAGTGTCATGCGGATGGGACACTGGACCTTGGCGCTTAGGCGTTGAAACATGGCATCCGAACCTTTCTGCTGGTTCCCGCGAGTGATGTGACTTGTTTCTTTTTTTCTTTTTCTTCCCGAGAGGCTAGGACAATCAGCATCGCAGCTTCGATCGGCGCCAACGCGGCTGCGCCTGTGCAGAGCAACCTCGAAGCGTCTAACAGGTCGCTGTCCAATGTCGTGCAGAAGCCAGAGCCAGCGAAAGCAACAGCAAGCACCGACCAGGCGGGTGGGCACCAAAGCCACAGCAAAGGAACTCAAGGCAGTTGGTGCCAGTGGTGGGCCGGAAAGGATCAGTGCATTGCATGAACCGAAACTTGGGATGACCCTGATACGGTGATCAAGTCAGCCCGGGAGTGGCCCTGCTCGCTGCCGTCGACCCGTCGTCATCCGATGATTGAGATTGGAATTGGGGGTCAAAGTCTCTTTGGTCTGGCCTGTTGGTTAGGTTTCTCGTTGCTGAGTCCGTCTGTAGGCTGCGCTCAGTCACTGGCATAGTTTCGGGGCGCGTTTGCAGAGGGTCAGAAAACAATGACGCGGGAGGAGCTTTGAGGCGTCCGATTTGACGAAGGCGGACAATGAGTGAGACAGATGGTCTTTGGTGTGTCGACTTGCTCTACTTCCACCTAGACATTAAGATAGTTTTCGCGTGGCGCATTGTACAAGGCGTCTCCGCCGTAATGTGGATGATCGCCGCCAGCCATATGGCAATAGCTTCGCCGTGGACATGTATTGAGAGGGAGCCTAAGGTGGATAGACTGAGGAGTTGGGAGTGTCCTGGTAGGGAAGACTAGACGTTGATCGAAGAAATAATGCGGGTGGTTGAAGCTTGGAATGACTCCTCTGCTGCCAGCGGATGTTGCAGGAGTAAAATGACGAAGGAGGGGCAGCGACAACACACACCAAGTATCTACGGTACGTATCTTTCTCCCAGGAAGATGGAAGGTGAGGTCGTGGACGGGTGCAGCGGTACGTACATCGTTCACGGAGATGCTCAGGGCAGGTGGTGTTTCCTCTTGAGGGCAGTTGCCAAAAAAAGGTACACTCTCCACCATCAAGGTCCCCATCCAGCGCTGTGATTGGCAGGTCCAGCCAGATGAGTCCCTTCCTGCGTCTTTTCCCGCGCCTACCTTAATACTTGACGAGGGTGCCTTAGGTAAGGAGATATTACATAATCGTCATCAGCCACTCACCTTTTGTTGCCCGTGGTAGCAGCCAGTAGTCCTGAACAGGACTAGCGCGCTGCCACGACAAGGGGTGACAGGGGGCAACCCGCAACAGCAACAACGACGAACACACACCACACGCACGCCCGTCGCCCACACGCCCACTCGCACACTCCACGCCCACTCACGCCTGACCGACATCAACATTGCACCGACCTTTCCCTTTCCTGTCCACTCCCGTCCTGTCCCAGCCATGCCCAGCTGTGTATCCGGTCAGTCCAGTCCCTGAAAGTCTTGTGTCGCCGATAGCGAGCGTGCAGATGCATCTCTCTTCCGCCGACATCTCGACACCGACGACGACAACGACGACTACGACTTCGACAAACAACGACCACGGCCACCGATAACCGACCACCTCCGATCGACGACACAGGTAAGTCTTCGACGCCCAGTATCAACATCGACAACCACCCACGCGACATTCCGGGCCTTTCCATTCTTCCATTTCGACATCCTCCTTTTCCGAGTCGGGCTCTTCGTCTTTCCCACGCTTTGATACGACACTCCCAACCACCCACAACAACACTTGAAAGTCGGTACGTGCGATGTTTTCTACCACCATCGATCGCGTCAAATCTGGCGAGCGATAGAAGGCTGACGACAACGACACAATAGCACGCATTTGACGACTTTGACAATCATTCACATCGACGACTACAATTTTCATTTGTATCACTTCAACAACTTCTATTTGCGACCGCAGCGAGTGCCCCCACCTCGCACGTTTTGCGCCCACCACCACCACCACCAAACCCAACCACCCACAGTTACTCGCCCGATAACCGCCGAGCATCACATGCGATCCGAATAAACATCGCGACGGCGGCACAATCACAACAACCATGGCAGAGCCACCATCCTCACCGCCCAGCGAGGCGATGAGCCCTGAAGATCAGCTGCGCTGGTACAAGTCTCAGTATGCATCACTCGAGGAGGAACTGTCCGAGTTCAGGGAGTCCAGCAAGGAGCTAGAGCAGGAGCTCGAGAAGGATATCGAGCAGGCCGAAAAGAGGGAGCGCAAACTCCAGGAAAAGGCAGAGAGCCTCAAGTTCGAGGCCGAGGAGTGGAAGGTGAGATCATACCCTCTCCCGCCGGTTACCGTTTATCGGCGCGCATATCACATACCGAGAGATGTCCAGTTCTAACTGACCTTTCCCTCCAGTCAAAATACAACCAAGCCAAGAAGGATGCGAATACGGCTCAAAACACCCTGGAAAAGGAAATCACAACACTGCGCGACACCAACAGGACACTCCAGCTCAAGCTACGCGATATCGAGGTCGCCAACGATGATTTCGAGAGACAGGCACGGAACACCAGCTCCTCCCTCGAGGACCTCGAATCCAAGTTTAACAGTGCGATCGAGCGCAACGTCATGATGGAGGAGGAGATCAAAATCGGTGAACAGGAGCGAGAAACGCTGCGCATCGAGGCGCAACGCCTGCGCGAGGAGCTTTCCGACCTCAAGATTGAGGCCGAGGTGCTCCAGGACAAGATCAAGAAGCAGGAGCAACGTCATCTGTCCGCCATATCCACCGACCTTTCCGTTCTTTCATCCCCCGTTTTCGACAAGACCCTCGACGCCTCCCCCGGCTCGACCGCGAGCTCGCCCATGGTATCGACACCGCCCGATGCGGAAGCTCTCCCTGCTGCCAAACCCGCCCAGATCAGTGAGCCTCCATCCCCGCCAATGTCCGACGTCTCCGCCTCCGTACCCAAGAGGATTGTCTCCCGAACACCCCTCAAGACCCCGGCCAAGACTCCGGCATCGGCGACTCGCAAGTCGCGTCTGCCGTCCACCGAACACAGCATCACGCCCAAGCCTCGTTCATTCACGACATCCGTGAGCAGCACCCGGCCGTCTGGAGGTCGTCCCTCAACCGGGCCACCGACACGCACACCTGCTCCTCGCACCGCCCCTCGCTCCATCTCCACCCGCATGCCCCCCAAGCCTGCCAACAACTCTCTCGCCCACATCAGAACCCTTACAGCTCAGATGCAGCGTCTGGAAGCTCGCGTACACAATGCACGATCGAAGCTGCCTGCTCCCGTCACAACACCACCTCGGGCCTCACCCCGCTCCTCGGTTCTCGGAGTCCACAGCGTACCGTCAACGGTTACTATCCGCTCACGGAAACGTCCCAGTGGCTCCACCGCCTCATCAGTACGGGGCGACGACACTACGCCATCCAACCCCAACTTCTCTGCCAGCACACGATCCAAGCATGTACCTCGTCTTAGCACGTCAGGTGTCAGCCGGTTGTCTTTTGGCCCGCTACCGAACCGAAACCCAGGGGCTGGTCTTGAACACAGCGATTCCACAATGTCTCGGCCGAGCTCACGGGCTAGCATCTCGTCGTACGCCAGGCCATCAAGTCGCACAGAAATGGCACCGCCCCGTCCCATCAGCCGCACCAGTATGTCTGGCACCCGGACACCCCTGGGTCGTCCTCGCAGCTCCTTGGGTGGCAGCCTGCATGCGCGCTCTGCTAGTATCAGCAGCCGCATCGATATTGACGAGGGCGACGAAAATGGCGAATTCAGAACACCTAGCAGGAGAGGCACGTATTCTCGCTTAGAGGCAGAAAACTCTGTGAGCGGTATTCCAGCCCCTACAAGCGGCATCCCGATGCCAAGCGGGAGACGGCAAAGCGGAGGAAGCGTCTCAGGGAGACGAAGCTCGATGGGCCTGAGGAGTTCCATCATGGGCGCTCAGGATCAACTCGTTGAAGAGGAGACGTACTAGGCAGGGTTGAATCAAACCATCACAGGAGGAGGATTACTTGATACCAACAGAGCAGCACCGTTGCTTCTGACTACTTGACCCGGTGCATATGCAGTCGGGCCATGGGCAGCTGCGCAATTACAGCGAGCAACATACATACCCTCATTTTCAAAAGAGAAGAGAGACGAGAGAGTCTCATTCTTTTCTTCATCTCATTTCCTTTGTTCATTGCTTCTTCATGACTACGGGGTTTCCAGGGCAGGCGTGTGGATACAAACTGCTGCATCCGAGGCGTTGGTATGATTCTAGGGTTTCAAACGGGAACGGGGGATACAGCATGGCGGTGCCTTCTTTTCGGTTTCTTCTCTCTTGTTTTTCGCAGTCCGGGGGAATACCTTTTTGTTGACACGCAAGCAAAACTGCTACTACTACAACTCACTTTTACAACTAGCAAACACACACACCGAACCCCCCCCCCCCCCAAGATCCGTCGAAACATACCTTGGTCTGAATATACTGGTTTATTACTTCATGATTTGCTGCTTGAGTTCCATTGAGGCAGGTGTTTGTGAGTAACGTATCGGTCAAGTCTGTGACGATGAGAAAGGGATGAAGCATCGGGCTAAGTACGGTGAAGGGCGTGATGGTTGGGAGGTATTCCTGGCGAGTGGGCACCTGTACAGCCGAAGTTCTGCTCCAAACACTGCGACACCAATGTCGGCACTCGACGCGGACAGAGTACTCATGTGCCCTGCCAAGGCTATGTGAACACTGTATTGTTTGTCAATGAAGATCAGACGAAGGTCGCGTGATGTGTTTCCCGGGTTCAGTTTGTCGCCGATTCGGCGTTGCGTCGGTGGTAGAGGAGAATGGGTGGGTGGGGTGTGGTGGAGTGGGTGAGGCCGACCGACTGACCCCGCGCTGGTTCCTGTCCGCCGTTCCGGTTTGTGTTTGTGGAGGGGCCGAGTTTTGGGGAAGGTTGAACCTGCGTGCCGAATAGTGAATGTAGCAAGAGCCTCCCAGACAAATCAGATAGAGAAGAATCCTTGACGAAGTGAATAGATTGCTCTTCAATCAGGATGCGCCCGATGCCACTCTACATGGATGATTCACTTACTACTGGTGGTCTTTATTGGGGTGGCCGGTGTGTATTGTTACACGGACACGCACTCTCCCGCGCATTCACCACAGCAAAAATAAACAAAATCACCGACCCAAAAGCCATTAAACAAACCAAACAAAAGGTGACGTTCCCACACCGAGGTTCGAACTCGGGTCTCTCCGGTAAGTTGTCAGAACCCTAGACTGAAAGCGGAGTATCCTAACCACTGGACTATATGGGACTTTTCATGGGTTGGTGACCTTGATGAGGTCGTGGTGGATCGCGGCTGCTCGTGGTTCAAGTAGGTGCTTTGGTGATGACGGCCACATTTCTTAGCTTGCCACTGCGCACAATGACACCGCCTCTTTTCGGTTGGAACGAATTGCGAAAGAGTTGATATATGTAGGGATAAGATAGGAGTTCATTTTGAGGTGTAGAATTTAGACTGGACAGGCCTTAGGGGGGGTTCGTTCAGGTTACTCAACTCTAAAAGCAACTGGTGCACGACGTACCATTTTATCACGAATTCAAAACCATGGTCTTAGAACGAGGAAAATAGCCACACCAGCTGACGCTTGTTGAAATGCCCATTTATCCCGTGAATCCAAACCGAGAACCTCTAGAGAACTTTCCCCAAGTTTCAGAATTTATTTATCTCGCTTTTGTGTATACATCTTTGCTGAACCACGCATCCAAAGACCATTTATCCATCACCACATATTACTAGATCACCCACGGGGGAACACCAACTCAATCCACACAAAGGATCTGATCCTTCCATTCCAAGGATAATTATACTAATTTAAATGTATCATTCTGTCGTGGCCGCTGTAGTGGTGCGACTTGATCATCGAGCTCAACTCATAACGCATCCTTCAACACGACTATCCTACTAAACAGCCATACACGGAAGAAGCCGCACTGTCAGCCTTGTCCCCTAGTAAAGCTCACTAGACTTGAGCAAATATCTCCACAACAGAAGGAAGAGAATCCGCCAAATAGACATGTTCTTCTTGCAATGATTCTGCCCAGATGAGGTACTTCATTGGGGTGCTGATCTCATCACCTTTGTATGTGTTGTCTCATGCACACATGTCGCGGACTACGTTCATTGTACTGGCTTGAGTAAAGACCATGAAGACTCGGCCAATCCGCCCATGTACCTCCTGCAGGCGTGTCACTCGCTATACCTTGAACATGGCATGCGCAGATCTGCCGAAGCAAACATATCTACAACTACGCGCAAGCACCTTGAGGTCTGACGTGCGGCACACAGCTCCAATATTTACTGGAGACCTGTCAAGAGACACGGGAACCACCTGTCGACGAGGCTTGTCTAAGGGAGGAATCCAAAACCAGAACCAAGGCCGCGGCTTCGGCGCTGGCTGTTTCGTTTCGTGAGTCGGTTTCTCTCAAGGTAGTGTCCTGGCACGTGCGTGCAGAATATCATACGGCGGGTCGCCGGGTTGCCTTTCAAGCTTCGATACATCCCAAAGACTGTAGGTACAGAGGCAGCCATCCCAGCTCTGGAACTTTGACATCCGCTGGCCGTAGAGAAGTAGCTTGCGGGGTGCGCAGAGAGAACCAGGTCATCGACATCAAACAAGACATTCGTCCCAGTCTCGGCTTCGAATAGCACTAGCCTCATCTCATCCAACTGTCACGAGCGACATGCCAAGTGGCCAAACCTATCTGTACGTCGCTTGGCTAAACTTGCTGTGCAGATGCGGTCTCAGAGTAACGGTTGACTACCTACAGTGACGCACGTACCTGCAAACCCAGTTCGGACGGGCAGGCTAAGACCGGCGTTCAGAGCCGCTCGAGACACGATGCGGTCGGCAGTCGAGCTGCAGGCGCAGTCCTATGTGGCTCTGGTGAGTAAGACTGTGGGGTAGCCACGATCTGGACGACGAAGGTTGTTTGAGGAAGCGTGGACGTATTTGTAGGCAACGGCTTGTCATGTCAAGATGCGGCTGGAAAGATCTGTAAATGACCTTGGATCAGAGATCTGTAGATTACCTTTGATCAACGTCCCGTTAATGGTGCTGCTAAATTCAGTGTCAGCAAACGCCGTCTCACCGGCGCTGGCTCCCGCCCATCGGCGTCACAGGTCGGAGCTGAAGGGGGAAGCCTGGCTATTATTAGGGGCACGAGCAGTCCGCCCGCTCCGGCTAGGAGAGATGGACGTCAATGGTGGGGCCCGTCTCTTTTGGGGAGTGCCGTCTCTCTGAGATAAAAAAAAAAGGACGAAGGATGATGACCGGAAGTGGGCGCGTCAGATTACGCGCAGTACGTCCCCAGCTTTGACAGGATCGGATCTGCTCGCCCCGTCTTTAGCGCGGCCAGGTAGGTATTTGTAGGGAGCTAGTGTAGCATCCGCTCTGCTCTCCGAACGAGGCGCCGAGGACGGGACGGCCTGAGGGGCCAATGCTCGGTGATATCCTCGCTCTGGGGCGTATTGGTGTACAGATACGTTTCGTATCCTCTGGTCTGGGGTTATGATGGGGATTGGTACTCTATTGCGGTGGGAATGAGCCAACGGAAGTCCGCGCCATATGTACTGACAAGCCGGAATGTTGCGGTGCCGTGGATGGGATGGGCCGGGGAACTTGAGTAGGTGACGGGAGACCTCGGCCGCAGAGGGGTGGTGGAAGAAGCGAAGCTTCGGGTTCGCAGCGGCGACAGCGGCAGTGGCCATGAGACGGACGCGTTCAGGGTGCAGAGAAGCACTGCGTGGTGAAGTTGAGATTAACTAGTTGGGAACTAAGCAGGCCTAGGTATCCATACCATGGGTTTGGTCCTGAGTTGAGGAAAGGCGTTCGTCCGCGAGGTGGTATCTTGCTCTCTCTCACTGTCAGGATCCCACTATCATTAGCCTCAGTCAGCATGCTGGCTGCATTTTGGCTTTCCCATCCCACAGAACATTTGTGGCTGCAGCTGACGACTGAGGCTGCGAGCCCCCTGCTCTAGGCGCGGTTCAAGTCTGAATCGATATTGATGTCGTTGGCGCCGGCGGGTTGGCTTCAAGCCGGGTGGAGACAGGAATGGAGCACGGGGTCCGCAGATGGACGGACAAGATGTTGGGGATCTGCGGGTGGAGATTTTCTCTTTTGGTCTGGCGCTGGTTGGCAATGTTTTTTCTCCCCCTTCTTCGGTGCTCTCTTCTCCTTCTTTGGGTGGGGGCTTTGTTGTTTTCGTGAGTTCGCTATTGGTGCTTGGAGAACCCCTGGCATTTCTCGAAGGGGCCCATCGAAGGCGACCCCCAAATTGTGTCCCAAAATCCCAATTGTTGGGGGGACCGACATTTACCGCCCACGTCGACGTGGCTCGGCAAAGCTCATCGGCGACGGCATTGATGTTGGTGGTGGGAGGCAAGGCCAGGGCCTAGCAGTTCCAGCTGCTATCGGCTTGACGAGGACCCCTTATCGGGTTGGACCGGTGGCCCTTTGGCCTGGCGCTTGGCTTGGTTGGAATTTGCATGTTGAATGGTGAAGCTCTGCCACAGGACTTTGGACTCTAAGGGGGGGGGGGATGCAAGATGCGAAACTGAAGAGAACGAGACTTTGGCGTGGTTCGCGCGGTCTGTCCCATCCGAGACACCAAAGGTTTAGACACAAGCGTTTGGCCACTGAGTGAATACCAGTCCAAGCCAGCAGCGGGTGAGACCGAGAGTTGGGACGTTTGTATTTGCCCTGTATGACCTGAACTTTGTGGTTCAGCATTCTCCGGCATCCCTAGCGAGTGTAATAGTGCTCGACGGGGACTTGATCTGAAGCCTGCGCTATATGTGCATAGGTTCTGCAGAAGGCCAAGGAGGTACTAGGTCGGTAAACTTGGGTACCTGGCCCGTTCTGCGTACTGCGTACTGCGTAGCCTGTAGGTGCGAGTACTGCGTAGGACTAGCGGAAGCTGATGGACGTCCCCGGACGGAGAACCGGCGAGGCTAGGCGGTTTAGAGGTGCGTAAGCGAGTCGACAGTTACGGCGTTAGGTTGTTGAGGCTTGCACCCCTGGACGACGTGGGCGACGCCTGACAGACCGCCTGCGAGATTGGGTATGGGCTGGAGGGGTGGTCGATGGGGACACCCTGATGGAGCTTTTCTGATGAAACTTGAAGGGGCGGCCTGTCCATTTGTTCCATACTCCCAGACTCTCAGTGCCGGGCGACAAGAAGTCGGGGCCGATGAAAGTTGGGATGCCAAATGGGATGGATGCAAGAGATGCGCGCATTGATCGTGCCGGGCTCCTGAACTCGTGGGAGGGCAGACTTTGCAAGTATGTGTTTGCTTGCTGAGTCCGGGGTTGCCAACGGCGCTCTCGAGCTGTGGGTGTCGGGTCTGGGTGTAATTATACGGCGTTGATGAGGTTAACGATCGGTGTCTAACGGCCGGCGGTGCGGTGCGGCGGTGTCAGAGTACAGTGACAGGGTGCCATTGGATCGTGGCAGTCAGGTAACGCAACAGCTTTCGGACATTGTTTGGAGATGCCGTCGGGGTTCGGTGGTGGCAACGATGGCTGACCCGATTCGATCCTCCATCAAGTTCAGGAGCCCGCGGAGGGTACATCAGATTTTGGTAAGAAAAAACCAGGAGCTGAATTTGGATACGATTGTGACATTTCGTAGCGAAGGTGATGCGTGTATGTATGTGTGTGTCGCTGTCGCGACCAACGATCCATCTCGAATATTAGGTGTGGTGTTGGAGAATGACAAGGTCTACAAGGCTGGAGGTGACGAAATGGTTGAGAAATTGCGCAACAGTCGAAAATCTCAAGGTGCAAGGTAAGGAAGGAATGCGGCAGCAACGCGCAATAGGAGCTTTGGCCCAAGAGTACGTACCGATAAGGCCAACGATAACGTCCCGGGGTCTACAGGTGGAGACACAGGCGCCTCAGAGTACAGGGGAACTTGCCTCAAGAGAAAAAAAAAAGATGCGAGGAAGAAGCTGTGAGACTGAACCAAACAAGTAGCTTTGATTGGAGAGAGAGACACACATTGCTGGCCCAAATCTGAGAAAAAAAAAACAGAAAGATTCCAGCGGCAGAATCCCCTGGGCCGGGAAAGAGGCAATCAGATGCGCTACGGGATGAGGATCGGTACCTGAAGCCCCGTCATGGCAGACGTACCGGCGCAAGTATCTTTTGTTCCCTGTCCATGGGTGTTCAATGCTCCCGCCGGGTACGTACCGAAAACCAGGGGCAGAGAATGCAGGTTGACGTTTGTTTCCTCACAGTTTTTGTCAAGTACCCAGGATCTGTTTTGTTGCTAGTTGATGTTCATCTTGAAGTGACAGCTTTGGGAGGGGAGGTAACATTACCCAACCCAACCCAATCAACGAATTATAATCGAACCTTATCTTCGTGGGGGCTGGGCTGAGAGTTGCAAGGGAGCCAGCATTCAAAACCATCCGAAAAAGGCTGAGAGATACAACGCCGAGGCTTTACTCTGTGGGTTTGGAGGGAAGACTCAAAAGAAAGAGAGACTTTAGAATGAGACTTGAGAGACATTGCCTTACCTAAGCCTTGGTATCCGTACTGCGGTAGGTTGGGTACGTAGTAGGCACCTTGGGTTTTGGGCATGGACAAGGAAGGGACTGGTGCAGCCCGCTTGCCCGCCCACCCTTGGGCAGGAGCTCCCCCAACACCCCGGCCATTGGTTGAGGGAGGGGGGCAGAATCTCAGCCGGATAGATGGATTGGGGCATTTTGACAGATGGAGGCAAGGAGGAACCGAGGGAATCAGTGAACAATTAATGCGTTGCCAATATGGAAAAGTGTGAGTATCCATCCAGTCGTGTTCTGTATGTAGCCAGTTACATACATCTTGTGTATTTGCAGCGCAGCCCAATGGTAGTCTAGTTGAGCGTATGATGTAAGCTTAGATGTGAGAAAAAGACCCGACCTAACGCTCACAGACTTCTATTGATCAATACGTAGACTGGCCGGTAGTGTCAGGTGCAAGTATCACCAGGAACAAGAGCAGGAATCATCTCAGTCCTTGGTCTTGCCCAATGCCAATGTCTAGTGGCCCTTGCTGGTCTGGTCTCAAAAATGGCGATGCGCGTTGAACGGGCAGTTTTAGCTGAGGACGATCTTGCCTACTTACTTTGGGGGAAACTTGGTGATGGTGGTCCGTCACCCGCCGGAGTGAGGTACTCCCGGTACATGGACTCGGGTACCGGCTCAAGTACCTTTTTTGCACCTCGCACGTACTCTCTCTCACCAGTTCCCCATCCCGGGAAATCTGCCATGCTCCTTCCTCCTCATCGACCACAGCACCGACAATGGCAAGCACCAAGCACAACCGCACCACGATGCACCAAGCACCAAGCACCGAGACCGACGCCGTACACACATTGACACCGTACTCCGTCCCTAAGCAGATTGGAAGCTTCGTCCTCGTCTTGGTCCCGTCCCCATGGCGATGCCCGGTGCTTCGTGCCATCGTCAAGTGAATCACGTATAACAAGTGAACCTCGCCTGCTGTATCGTGTCTGGTGCCTTCTTTCTCCTGCTCGCTCTCTCCGCCCCCGCGTCGTCCCATTACTTGGCCTCCCCCTTCTCCTTCTTTTTGTCTCTATCTCCATCTCCCGACGGGCCTCCTCGTCGTTGTTATTATATTCTCCGGGTACTTGTTAGACCCCCCTACTATATCTCCTTTCTCATACGGATACGGATCTCCAGGAACCGATAGCTCCTCCCTGGCAGGTGGCAGTGTCGAGGGAACATCTAATTGCGAAGCTTCAGGCAGGGAAACCAACCATTTCGTTCAGATCCAGCTTCGGCTTCCTTGAGCTTCTCGCGGAGAAGTAACAAAACCAGCAAAAAACACTATACAGTACGGTAGGTACCCTTGACTATACGGAAACTCCAAGCCTGAAAGCATACTCTTCCCGTCCTCTTTCCTTTACCATATCATCCTCTTTCCCTCTCCGTCCCGGACTTCCTTCCTCACCTAATACGGCCTTACCTGAGCAGTCCCCGAGTTTCCCTTCCTTCCCTCTCTCGAATACGGTACGCCATGCAAAGTACACACCCCCCTTCCCCCATCGCAGACCCCACACATTTCATCCCGTCCCACCAGGAGGTACCTACAGCTGGAGGTACAAATCAAGGTACACGACGTCTACTTTGATCTCCAGAAGAAGGTACTTGGCCAAGTGACTTTGCGCCCCTCCTCATCCATCCTCACCTTCGTTGCGCTCCTCCCACGCCGTCAACGCCGCTCCAACAATCCCCGTCAAAGTTCCAGGTCCCAAATTCCACATCGCTCATTGCCTCAACCCCGGAACTCCCGTCCAAAGAGTCCACACCTCACACACACCTCACTCACACGCTCACTCTCACTCCCCTGCGCCTGGATCCTCCTCCTAATTATTGCTTGTTCCTGTACGGAGTACACACAGTATTGCTGGCTGTCGTTAGTCTCCAGTTCTCCAGTTCACCAAGTCTTCTGACTGCCTGTCCTTTTTTTTTTTTTTGGTGGCTCATCTCATCCCATCCGCAAAGTCGCCGGACTACAATAACATCCTTCTATTCCCACTTCCCAGCAGCTCTTCTTTCCTCTCTCCTTCGACCTCTCTCTTCCCACTCTCTCCCTTCCATTCTCCCTTTTTCTGACATACCTTTTAGACCTTCTGTCCTAGCCACAAGACAGAAGAAGGAAGCATCTTGTCTTACCAAGCTTGCCCCCCAATTCATAACCAGGTACGTTGGCTCTAGGCATTGCTGCTTTGCTCTGCTGGCTTGCTGCTCGTTCTACGGAATACCGGCCAGTTAGCTAGTTGCGCGCGCAATCTCTCCTCTCAGGCCCAGCCCAACTGCTCTCGCCTTCTCCCTGGCACCCGTCTCGCGCCGCCCATTTTAACCCCTGGCGTGGCCTGCATTCCTCACCCACCCCAATATTCTCCCCCCCCTCTTAGTGCTGCCTCGCGCCCGATTTCCCCAACAAGAAACTTTTTTTGAGAACCGTGAGAGAGAGCTGTTTTTGGGCTAACAATACCTCTTTTCCCGACTATCTAGAGACTCGAACAAATCTCTGTTCTACACCTCCGCCACGATCAATTGCTCTGCCTATACCCCATACTGTTCTTTGCTGCAGAGACAGAATCCAACAAATTAATCTCCTGCTCGAATCTCCCCCCTTCGAGCAACCAAAAAAACTCCCCGACGACCACCCCACGTCATAACACCCCGAATCGAAGCTCCCTGAGCTCGCCCCGATTCATGACGGTCACCTTCTGAGATACCCGCGAAAATCCACACCACACCACCCACAAACACACCGCAATCATGACCGAAATCACAGCAGCCAACGGCACCGGCCGGACTGTGCCTCACGTCAACGGCAAGGCAACGTATGCCGAGAAGCACAAAATCGCCGACCACTTCATTGGCGGCAACAAGCTGAGCAACGCACCGGCCTCCAAGGTCAAGGACTTTGTTGCCCAGCAAGATGGTCACACCGTCATCACCAACGTGCGTCAAGCCCCAATTCCGCCCCAAACGCTTACGAGATCGTCCTGGTGGGTTCATGGGATGCAAAAATGTGCTGACCGAGTGCAAAACAGGTCTTGATCGCCAACAACGGTATTGCTGCCGTCAAGGAGATCCGTTCGGTCCGGAAATGGGCCTACGAGACGTTTGGCGACGAGAAGGCCATCCAGTTCACCGTCATGGCCACCCCTGAGGATTTGGCTGCCAACGCCGATTACATTCGCATGGCTGACCACTATGTCGAGGTGCCCGGCGGTACCAACAACCACAACTACGCCAACGTTGAGCTGATTGTTGATATTGCTGAGCGCATGAACGTCCACGCTGTTTGGGCCGGATGGTGAGTTTCCTCCTACCTCCCGGCGACTGTCGCCTGCTTGCCACGGTGGCTGACCATTTCTTTCTCCAGGGGTCACGCCTCCGAAAACCCCAAGCTTCCCGAATCCCTCGCTGCCTCTCCCAAGAAGATCGTCTTCATCGGACCCCCGGGCTCCGCCATGCGATCTCTTGGTGACAAGATTTCTTCCACAATTGTTGCACAGCACGCCAAGGTACCCTGTATCCCCTGGTCAGGTACCGGTGTCGACGCCGTCGAGGTCGACAACCAGGGTATTGTCACCGTCGCAGATGACATCTACTCTAAGGGTTGCGTTACATCATGGCAAGAAGGTCTGGAGAAGGCCAAGGCCATTGGCTTCCCCGTCATGATCAAGGCCTCAGAGGGTGGTGGTGGTAAGGGTATCAGAAAGGCCCTTTCCGAGGACGGCTTCGAGCAGCTGTACAAGGCTGCTGCTGGCGAGATTCCCGGTTCTCCCATCTTCATCATGAAGCTGGCAGGCAACGCGAGACATTTGGAGGTGCAGCTGCTTGCTGATCAGTACGGAAACAACATCTCCCTCTTTGGCAGAGATTGTTCCGTCCAGCGTCGTCACCAGAAGATTATTGAGGAGGCTCCCGTCACCATTGCCAAGGACATCACATTCAAGGCCATGGAGGATGCTGCCGTTCGTCTCGGAAGACTCGTCGGTTACGTCTCTGCTGGTACCGTCGAGTACTTGTACTCGCACGCCGACGACAAGTTCTACTTCCTCGAGCTGAACCCCCGTCTTCAGGTCGAGCATCCTACCACTGAAATGGTCAGTGGTGTCAACCTGCCCGCTGCCCAGCTCCAGATTGCCATGGGTATCCCCCTGCACAGAATCCGCGACATTCGTCTTCTGTACGGCGTTGATCCCAGGACATCCACCGAGATCGACTTCGAGTTCAAGCAGGAAGGTAGCGAGAAGACGCAGCGTCGCCCCAGACCCAAGGGTCACACCACTGCTTGCAGAATCACCTCTGAGGACCCCGGTGAAGGATTCAAGCCCTCCAACGGTGTTATGCACGACCTGAACTTCAGGAGTTCCTCCAACGTTTGGGGTTACTTCTCCGTCAGTACCGCCTCCAGTATTCACTCCTTCTCCGATTCCCAGTTCGGTCATATTTTCGCTTATGGCGAGAACCGTGCTGCTTCCCGTAAGCACATGGTTGTTGCCCTCAAGGAGTTGAGCATTCGTGGTGACTTCCGGACAACGGTTGAGTACCTCATCAAGCTTCTGGAGACCGAGGCTTTCGAGGACAACACCATCACCACCGGCTGGCTCGACGAGCTCATCACCAAGAAGCTGACTGCTGAGCGCCCCGACCCCATGTTGGCTGTCGTCTGCGGTGCCGTTACCAAGGCCCATCTCTTCAGCGAGGAGTGCATGACTGAGTACCGTACCAGCTTGGAGAAGGGTCAGGTTCCCTCCAAGGACATTCTCAAGACCGTTTTCGCCATCGACTTCATCTATGAGGGTTTCCGCTACAAGTTCACCGCCACCCGTGCCAGCGTCGACAGCTACCACCTCTTCATCAACGGCTCCAAGTGCTCTGTCGGTGTCCGTGTCCTCAGTGATGGTGGTTTGCTTATCCTTCTTGATGGTCGATCCCACAGTGTTTACTGGAAGGAGGAAGTCGGTGCCACTCGTCTTTCCGTTGACGGCAAGACCTGCTTGCTCGAGCAGGAGAACGACCCTACCCAGCTCCGCACTCCCTCCCCCGGTAAGCTCGTCAAGTACTTGGTTGAGAACGGCGAGCACGTCAAGGCTGGCCAGCCTTTCGCCGAGGTTGAGGTCATGAAGATGTACATGCCCCTCATCGCTTCCGAGGATGGTCTTGTCCAGCTCATCAAGCAGCCGGGAGCCACTCTCGAGGCTGGTGACATTCTGGGAATATTGGCCCTTGATGACCCCAGCCGCGTCAAGCAGGCTTCGCCTTTCGTCGGTCAGCTCCCCGTCTATGGCGAGCCTGTTGCTGTCGGAACCAAGCCTGCCCAGAGATTCGATCTTCTGCACAACACCCTGAAGAACATTCTGCTCGGCTACGACAACTCCGTCATCATGGCAGCCACCCTGAAGCAGCTCATCGAGGTCCTCCGCACTCCCGAGCTTCCCTTCAGTCAGTGGAATGCCCAGTTCGCTGCGCTGCACAGCCGTATGCCCCAGAAGCTCGACGCCCAGTTCACCCAGATTGTCGACCGTGCCAAGAGCCGTCACGCAGACTTCCCCGCCAAGGCCTTGGCCAAGGCATTCCAGAAGTTCCTCGAGGACAATGTCGCTGCTGGCGATGCTGACATGCTCAAGACCACTCTGGCCCCCTTGACTGATGTCTTGAACGCATACTCCGAGGGAACCAAGGCCCACGAGTTAACCGTCATCAAGGACCTCTTGGCTTCGTACATTGAGATCGAGCGCCTGTTCACTGGTTACGGAACCCAGGAGGACAGCGTCATCCTCAAACTGCGTGACCAGAACAAGGATGATATCCGCAAGGTTGTTCAGACTGTTCTTTCTCACAGCCGTGTTGGTGCCAAGAGCTCGCTGATCCTTGCCATCCTCGAGGAGTACCGCCCCAACAAGCCCAACGTCGGAAATGTCGCCAAGTACCTCCGCACTGCCCTGCAGCAGTTGACTGAGCTTCAGTCTTCCCGCACCACCTCCAAGGTGTCTCTCAAGGCCCGTGAGATCATGATCCAATGCTCTCTGCCATCTCTTGAGGAGCGTACCGCCCAGATGGAGCACATTCTCCGCTCTTCCGTCGTGGAGTCTCGTTATGGTGAGGCCGCCTGGGACCACCGTGAGCCCAGCCTGGAGGTTATCAAGGAAGTTGTTGACTCCAAGTACACCGTCTTCGACGTCTTGACCCTCTTCTTCGCTCACGAGGACCCTTGGGTCTCTCTTGCTGCCCTTGAGGTTTACGTTCGTCGTGCCTACCGTGCGTATATCCTCAAGCAGATTGAGTACCACTCTGATGAGACCGATACCCCTCTCTTCTGCACCTGGGACTTTGCTCTCCGCAAGATCGGCCAGAGCGAGTACGGACTGCCTCTTCAGTCCGCCGCACCCTCCTCTCCCGCCACTCCCAGCGGCAGCGGCGGCTCGTTCGACTTCAAGCGCATCCACTCCATCAGCGACATGTCCTACCTCAACCACAAGTGGGACTCTGAGCCCAACCGCAAGGGTGTCATCGTGCCCGTCAAGTACCTCGACGACGCCGAGGACTTGCTCGGAAAGGCTCTTGAGACCTTGACCGTCTCTGAGAAGGCCAGAAAGCGCAGCACCCCCGGTCTCATTCCTGACTTGAGCGGCAAGCGCAAGCCTGCTGCCCCCAAGGTCGACTCTGACGAGCTCTCCGCCGTCATCAACGTTGCTGTCCGCGATGCCGAGAGCAAGAGCGACCAGGAGATCCTTTCTCGCATCGTGCCCATTGTCGAGCAGTTCAAGGAGGAGCTTCTCAACCGCAACGTCCGCCGTATCACCTTCATCTGCGGTCGCAACGACGGTGCCTACCCCGGCTACTACACCTTCCGTGGCCCCGAGTATGTTGAGGATGATAGCATTCGCCACAGTGAGCCCGCTCTCGCTTTCCAGCTTGAGCTCGGAAGACTTGCCAAGTTCCACATCAAGCCCGTCTTCACTGAGAACAAGAACATCCACGTTTACGAGGGTGTCGGCAAGGCCGTCGACGGTGACAAGCGTTACTTCACTCGCGCTGTCATTCGTCCCGGCCGTCTCCGTGATGAGATCCCTACTGCTGAGTACTTGATCTCTGAGGCCGACCGCGTTATCAACGACATCTTTGACGCTCTTGAGATCATTGGCAACAACAACTCCGATTTGAACCAGGTCTTTATCAATTTCACCCCTGTGTTCCAGCTTCACCCCCAGGAGGTTGAGAGCAGTCTCCAAGGCTTCCTGGACCGCTTCGGAGCCCGCGCTTGGCGTCTTCGTGTCGCCCAGGTTGAGATTCGTATTATCTGCACTGATCCCGACACTGGCGTCCCCTACCCTCTACGTGTCATCATCACCAACACCTCTGGATACGTTGTTGATGTTGACATCTACGCTGAGCGCAAGTCCGAGAAGGGCGAGTGGGTCTTCAACAGCATTGGCGGTACCAAGGAGAAGGGTCCCATGCACCTGTTGCCTGTCTCGACTCCCTATGCCACCAAGAACCCTCTGCAGCCCAAGCGTTACAAGGCTCACTTGATGGGTACTCAGTACGTCTACGATTTCCCCGAGCTCTTCCGCCAGGCCATCCAGAACAGCTGGACCCAGTCGGTCAAGAAGCACGGCGCACTGGGCGCTCAGCAGCCCAAGTCTGGCGAGTGTGTCTCGTACACTGAGCTCGTTCTGGACGACAAGGACACTCTTCAGGAGGTCAACCGCGAGCCTGGTACCAACACCTGCGGTATGGTTGGTTGGATCTTCAACGCCAAGACCCCCGAGTACCCCAAGGGCCGCAAGTTCATTGTTGTTGCCAACGATATCACTTACATGATCGGTTCTTTTGGCCCTAAGGAGGATAACTTCTTCTACAAGTGCACTGAGCTCGCTCGCAAGCTTGGTATCCCCCGCATCTATCTATCTGCTAACTCTGGTGCCCGTCTCGGTGTCGCCAACGAGCTTATGCCCTACTTCAAGGTCGCGTGGAACGACGCCAACAAGCAGGACAACGGCTTCAAGTACCTCTACCTCGACGACGAGGCCCAGAAGCGTTTCGCCAAGGACGTCATCACCGAGGAGATCTCCGAGGACGGTGAGAAGCGCCACAAGATTGTCACCATTGTCGGTCAGGAGGACGGTCTTGGTGTTGAGTGTCTGAGAGGATCTGGTCTCATCGCTGGTGCGACGAGCAAGGCCTACAACGACATCTTCACCATCACCTTGGTCACTTGCCGTTCCGTCGGTATTGGTGCCTACCTCGTCCGCCTTGGTCAGCGTGCTGTCCAGATCGAGGGCCAGCCCATCATTCTCACTGGTGCCCCTGCCTTGAACAACGTTCTTGGTCGCGAGATCTACACCTCCAACTTGCAGCTTGGTGGCACTCAGATCATGTACCGCAACGGTGTCTCCCACATGACCGGTACTGATGACTTTGATGGTGTTTCCAAGATTGTAGAGTGGATGTCCTTCATCCCCGAGAAGCGTGGCAGCCCCATTCCAGTCAGCCCCAGCACCGACGGCTGGGACCGCGATGTCGTCTACACGCCTCCCCAGAAGCAGGCTTACGATGTCCGCTGGATGATTGGCGGTCACCCCACCGACAACGGTGGCTTCGAGGCTGGTCTTTTTGACAAGGACTCCTTCGTCGAGACTCTCGGCGGCTGGGCCCGTACCGTCGTCGTCGGTCGTGCTCGCCTCGGTGGCATCCCCATGGGTGTCATCGCCGTCGAGGCCCGCTCCGTTGAGAACATTACCCCTGCCGATCCCGCCAACCCCGACTCTATCGAGCAGATCACCAACGAGGCTGGTGGTGTGTGGTACCCCAACTCCGCCTTCAAGACCGCTCAGGCCATCAACGACTTCAACAACGGCGAGCAGCTGCCTTTGATGATCCTCGCCAACTGGAGAGGTTTCTCTGGTGGTCAGCGCGATATGTACAACGAGGTCTTGAAGTACGGTTCCTACATCGTCGACGCCCTCGTTAAGTACGAGCAGCCCATCTTCGTCTACATTCCTCCCTTCGGAGAGCTTCGTGGTGGTTCTTGGGTCGTCGTCGACCCGACCATCAACCCTGAGGCCATGGAAATGTACGCTGATGTTGATGCCCGCGGTGGTGTCCTCGAGCCCGAGGGTATCATTGGTATCAAGTACCGCAAGGACAAGCAGCTCGAGACCATGGCTCGCCTGGACCCCGTCTACGCCTCTCTTAAGAAGCAGATGACTGCCGATCTGCCCAAGGAGCAGGCCGACGAGATCAAGAAGAAGATGACCATCCGCGAGAAGCAGCTCCTGCCTGTCTACTCCCAGGTTGCCATCCAATTCGCCGACCTGCACGACCGTGCTGGTCGCATGAAGGCCAAGGGTGTCATTCGTGACCAACTGGAGTGGGTCAACTCCCGTCGCTACTTCTACTGGCGTCTGCGCCGTCGTCTCAACGAGGAGTATCTCCTCAAGCGCATGTCGTCAACCGTCCTCACTTCCACCCCCGGCAACGACAAGTCCAAGGCTCCCGAGACCCGCAGCCGCAACCTCCAGCTCCTCGAGAGCTGGTCTGGTGTCGTCAACTTCTCCACTGCCGATCGTGAGGTGGCTGAGTGGTACGAGGCCAACCGCAAGTCCGTCACTGACAGAATCGAGACCGTCAAGGCCGACAACCTGGCTGCTGACCTCAGCTCTGTCCTGAGAGCCAACAAGAGCGCCGCCATGCGTGGTGTTCGCGATGTCATCCGCACGATGCCGCCTGAGGAGCGTGACCAACTCCTCAAGTACCTGCGCGATTAAACAACCATATATGGAGAGTGGTCGGCGTAACGTTTATGGATGGTGTAAGGGTATAATTGGGATTAGACATGTTTTTCCTGGGATGATTATGACTATGTACGAGCATTATTCCGCATTTGTGTTAAGATAGATTTCAATGTTGGGAAAATACTCCCTTTAATGAAACCCCGTCCACCATGCGTGTGATTGTGAAGTTGAGTTGGGTACACTGAGATTGAGCGTTAATGGCGTGAGTGATTCGAGGGCGACCTATCTATCGGCTACAGCGTCGCTGGGTGATTTCTGTTGGGGTGTTTTCTTACACATCACTTGCAGAGGGAGCTGTGATTTGATATTTGAAGTACAAAGCGTGCTGAATCCTGACTCGGCATCTGTAGCCCCATCAGGATGATGTAGTACCTCTTCATTAACGAATTAACACACCCTTAACATACAGACCAGAACGAACATCCTAACGCCCAGAAAAAACCAAAACCTTTTGATACAACCCGATCTTGATCCCCTCGAACGCTCCCTATACCCTCTTCATCTACACCTAGGTCCGCGCTCGACGCTCTCTCCTTGCCACGGTATCTGGACCGCAAGGTATTCAAGCGCGCCCAGCACCGGGTCTCCTCGTACACCGCAACCCAGCCATGCCTCCAGAGCCTCTTGGATTTCCCCAGCCGCAAGCGATATTATTATCATTCGTCGCTTGCGGCCGTGGGCTGGAGGCTGGAGGCATGGCTACTCCCCAATCAACCGCCTATACCTTGGCGTTGGTCTACATCGCCCGGCGCTTCGTCTGGCGCTCTCCGTCCATCGACGACGGCGTATTCGCCAGCGATGTAATCGGCATGCCGCCGGGTGTCGGGGGAGGCCGGCCTGTTAGGCGAGGATCGTAGCTGTTGGAGATCGCGTCGTGCGATCTCTTTTGACCTGTGGCTGGACCGGAGCCGGCGATTGTACCTTGTGCTGGGGGCATGCCAGGCATACCTGAAGCCATCTGCGGGCTTGAGGCCATCTGTGTCTGGCTCTGGTCCCAGATATTGCTGTAGAAGGAGAGCTGTGGCGGGATCCGGGGCTGCGGCTGCGGCTGGGAGTGGAGGAACATGTTTCCAGTCGAGGCCCGAGGGAAGGGAGCAACACCAGCCGGAGCTAGGGCGGAGGCAGTACCGGCCATGGGCGAGCTCAGTCCCGCATATTGTGACGACGCCGCCGCGTTCGCCATGTAGGCCGAGTTCATGTATCCCTGCTGAGCCAGCATGCCATTCGACGCGCGCCTGAATGTGCGTGGCGTCCGTATCTGGTGGACCACCGAGTTGGATAGATAGCCGGCCTGGGGTGGGAAGCCCTGATTTGGCATACCGTTGGGTGGCATGCCCTGAGGCAACATGCCCTGGGCCGGCATGCCGTGATATGGCGTCTGCGGGCTCTGAACGAAGTTGGGGAAGCCAGGGGGCATGTTTTGATATGCCAGGTACTGAGATGGCATACCCTGCGACCCTGTAGCCTGGGCGGACATCGCGAGAGACATCCCCTGCCCCCCGCTGTTGAGCATATTGTTCCCCACGCCCATCGCCATGGTATTCAGGCCGGGATATGTAGGGACATGTCTCTGAGAGACCTGAGGAGAGGCCGTATATCCATTCTGGATCGGCATGCCTCCAGCTGGCATCATTGGACGCCGCTGCTGGATATCCGGCCGTCTATGGCCTTCGAACCTCGACATGTTCATGGCAGGGCGGGGGCCCTGGGATGCCGCTCTGACTGATGCCGCGTGGACGGGGGTGGGGGACGCCGTTGGCGTGGCACCGCCGTGAGGAGTCTGCGCTCGAAGCGCTCTCAGGGTCGCTTGGTTTGGCCCGCTCAAAGTAGGTCTCATGTGCTGCGGAACCGCTCGGTAGCTGGTGGGCATCTTGTTACCCATTGCCATGGTATTCTGGGCGGGATATGTTGAAGCAGGCTTCTGAGAGGCCTCCGGGGCGGGTCTTAATTGCTGCTGCTGCTGCTGAGGTGGCGCTTGTGCTTTGGGAATGACGGAAGTTGATTTTTCGCTCTTTGCATTAGCGGTGAATGAAGTGGAATTTCCTTCGACGGGATTCTCAGGGGTAGGTTGAGAGAGAGGGGGGCTTGGGAGGTGAACTCCTGCTGGGAGACAGATGGAATGATGATTCTCAACGAGTCTCATGTCAGGGGTCGGGGGACATGAAGGGCCGCCGAACAAGCTCTCTAGATCATCGGTTGTTGATTCCTCTACCTCCAGCTCGGGGACGTTGACCTCGGGCTTGGGGATGCTGGCAGTCATGTTCTCGTCGATGTGCTGGACTTCTTCGGGACCGGTTGGGATTGGATGAGATCCAATTTCTCCAATAGACACTGGTCCGATTTGCTGTAGCACTTCAAGGCCTGCATTATCGTCGTTGGAGTCGTCTGAGATGACCACGATACTAGCGTGGTCTTTACTTCCAAACTCAACTGGATTGGCCTCATTCATCAAGGCCATACTCGCCTTCTCAGCCTCCTCCTCCTTCTTCATCCATTTGCCAAGAGTCAACGAGATCTGTAGGTCCATGTACTTTCCTCTTTCGCGGATGCCGCGAGACATTTCGAGATCCCAAATCTCGCACGTGGGATTGGAGCATTTGTAGACGCCACCCTCAGTCTTGCGACGCTCTGTGTTGGCGAGCAGGCAATTTGAGAGGCCAGGGCACAGTTCGCCAGTCTGGACGTATTTGGTGCAGTGACGGACCGTGTCTCTGGGCCAGTCGCATTTGCAAATAAATTGGCCGGAAACGCACATTTTGGCGGTTGTAATGATTATTGGTGCGTGGTGGGTGTGGTGATTCGACTATCTTACTGTCGATTGCTCAAGGATCGATCAGTTGACTTGTAGTATCGTACCTATTGCCTAGAGATTGATTATAGACAGAATTGAATCGGGCCCGCCGTCGTGAATGATTATGAATGAAGTTTGGGTGTAAGTGATTCACAAGAATAGGTCCTGTGGTATGAGAATGGGTAGAGGGCAAGACAGTAGAACTGTAATTAGAAGAAGAGAATAAGTTGGTTGTAAGAAGGAAGGGAAGCAGAGATCTGTGACAGAAGAGAAGGAAAAAGCTGGGAAGAAGAAGGTGAATCTCAAAGTACCGGAGATAGACTGGCTAAGATGGGAAGCCATGGAGTTGACCTTACGGCCTCAGAAGAAAAAGGGCGGATACTTCAAGTGGGGCACCCATCTCCGATAGCGATGGTGAATGACTTGCTTTATAAGGTACCGTGCGATGAGTGAATGAAGGGGTGCCGGAGATAGGTCCCGGTGGTGAATGAAGGATAGCCCTCAAGGTACCTGGAGTACCTTAAGTTCAGATGAGTTCAACCTGCTTGAGCAATTTGACGCAAGCTACCTCTATGATGTTTCTCCGATGCTCATATTGAATGTTGAAAGAGGACGAGCCAGCCAATTGCCAACCTCTTCGAACTTTCTCCCGTGTTCGCGTCAACTCGGGCCCGGTGATAAGCTTCTTTCACTAACGACTGGAAATGTATACCTGCGAATCTAGTCTCTGGGCCTTGGGAACTGGACTTCTCGGAGATGGAAATGTGGGTGTCCTCGTTTTGAGGGAAGTCTGATTTGGGGCTTACATCGAGGAGTTGAGGCCATTTTTCGGCGATAGAGAAACGTGGTGGACTGCGGTACTACTTAGTGTGTGATAGACACTATCTGAGCAGTAATTCATATAAACGTAGAGTCAGAAGCTGGTTGGGAAAGATCACACTGAGAATATTCCGCTTCGCCATGAGAGCTATGAAATCAGAGATGCTTCGAAACGACGTTGAGGGCGAAAAAAGCAAGTTGAGAGTAAGAACACTGTTATAGACATAACGTTAATAGTCTATTGAGACACTGGGGGTATTCACTGATACCATGTATAGATACCGTGTAAACGATATCGAGAACCGCCCGAGCAGCCAGCAAAGGCAGAATGCAAAAACAAATAGATATAGCGTTGTAGCAACGAATAATTAACCATGAATACTGTTATTAATTCCGCCACTGCTTTGTTAATCAGACCTTGCCTCGATCTCAGAGGGTCGATGTGTAGGAGACAGTGAAGCTCGCCCATATCATACAAAGTAATTGTCTCGTTGCAAACAAACCTATGACAATCCCAACTAGGAAACTGGCAAACAGATCCATCAATGGGGTCCACGCCTTTCTTCTAAAGTGACTGGGCCAGTGTTATGATCTCTTGTGCCGTCTCTTCAAACTTTTCGATGTTGACCCAGTGACCCGCCCCAGGAATTATGACCGACCCCATCCAGCAGTCAGACCGAACGCTCTCGCCGTTCTTCATGGCTTCAAGAGCGCCAGGAACCTGGTACGTTCCCCAATCATGTGTCCCAGAGACGTACTTTGTCGGGATCGCCAGCTTTGTTCCCGCAAAACAGAGGAGGTCTGCAGACAAGGCCGGGTCGATGAGGACTTTGTACCACAACAAAGAAAGTCGGAACGTGTTTCGGGAGTATTCGTCAACATAGACCTGAAGTTCTGCATCGGTGAGCCATGATGTTTCGCTGAGTTTGGCTCGCACTTCGGCCGACTCTTGGGCCATGTCCAGCTCAATGTTTCCGCGCATCGATAGATCCGCTCTCATTACGTAGTAATGCGGCATGACTGAGATCTCTTGTGCTGTCCATGCTTCGAGGGGCCGAGGATTATTCAAACTGTAATCTGCAGACTTTAGATGGAAGTATCCCCGGAGGAAGTCGTGCATCGGCTGGCCTGTGGGATGAGTCCATTCGTCGACTGCTCCTGATGAGGCATTGTAGTACTTGTAGTGCTTTCTTGGCGGGTCAAGCTTCAGGAGAGAGGATTGAATGTCATTGTCATTCTTGATCGTCTTCCCGCCATCTTCCCGTTTGGATTCAAACAAAGAAGCTAGTTGCGGTGCAGGTCCAGTTCCCAAGGGCAGCTGAGGAGATCCCTTGAACGGATGCGCCATCAAAACCAAGGACTTGATCATATCTGGCCGCGTGATGGCGCACATCGAAGCCACGAATGCCCCGAGATCGTGCCCGACGAGAGTGTGAATGCTCTCGTAACCGAGTGCATGGACTAGAGTGACCACATCCCGCAGAGCGGTCAGCGGACGGATTGTCTCTTCGCTGATCGGACTCAGATTGGCGTTGTGCGTTCGGCCAAAGCCTCTCATATCGGGAGCGACTGCGTAGTACCCCGCCGCGGCGAGCTTTGGCATGACAGCAGACCAGTCGAACGACAGGTTTGGAAAGCCGTGGAGAAGTAGGATCAGAGGCGGAGGGTCTTTAGAAGGATTACTGTTTGGGAAAGACTCGAGAATGTGGAACTTTAGCCCTATGGGCGAAGTGTCGACATAGCGAGAGGTGACGCCGGGGGGAAGATCCCACGGAGGCAATTGTGCTAGGTCCATTATCCCCAAGCAATTCGTCGACCGGCGTGAGTCAGTTTTTACGTAAAGGAGGAGCTACCAGTTAAGAAATTTCACAAGGCTCTGTTGTACGAACAGTATTGCAAAGGCAAAGGGACTGAAGAGGCTTCTCAACGTTCGTTGATCTTGTCAAAGCAGTTGTTCGCGTGCCTCGGCTATTGAGGGGCTTTGGAGAACTACGTCACGGGAAATCAGCCACAGCTCATGCGGAGGAATCAAGCAGCCGATTACTCCTCAGGCGGCGCATCAACGGCGACCTTCCATTTGTCTGAATTACTCAGCTCTGACAAACTTATGCTTACTGCCATTCGGGTCATGAGGTTCAGGAACCGGAGTTACTCTGCTATTCTATCGTGAATCCGCTGAAATGAACCTCGGCACCGACGGTTCCATCTTCCATAGCGTGCGCAAAGACACCAAAGATCGGCCCTGTCATCTCTCTCTCAACCAAGTCGGCAACTTGCGCCCTTCCCACTGGATTCCAATCTTCCGAGTCGTTCTCGCGATACAAAAATGTATACTCCTGCGCGTTTGCTTCCACGCGCATTCCAAGCACTGTTGTGGATGTATTGACCGGGATAGAAGTTGATTGAGTTTTGTCTTCTGATGTTGTCGTCACGTTGAACACCACTTCCGAAGACTGAAAGTCAAATGAAAGAGAAACGTGGCGCGGCGCATCCTTATAGATGGCTAGTCCGGCCTCCACGGGCTCCCTTCTGAACGCATTGGAGATATCCAGACTTACTGAAGCAGATGCATCAATGGATCTTTGTCTCTTGCCAATAAACGTGCTAGTACCGGTAGGAATCGATAGGTTGCTAGCACTGCACCGGAGTACCAAATCTGTCTCGCCGCTGATGTGATACATCTCGCGTTCGGGGTCGCGGATGTACACGAGATCAAGGTTTGCCGGAGCCTTGTGAATCAATGATGCGTTACCACCAACAGGGCCAGAAAGAACACGCTCAAACTCCATTGTGGGTTGTTGAATCGTTGGCCATCCGTCTTCCGGCCAATCGACTGCGGTCAGGAAAGTCTCCCGGCCAAGCGGTGGACGATCGTTTTCATTTCGTACACCAAGAACTGCTGCCCACCAAGCGCCACTCTGGTCCTGGAAGAGTTCACCATGGCCGATGTTCTGGATGTACTCGTCTGGTTTCCCATCGGCGGTCATGATAGGATTTGCATCGCAGGATTCGTAGGGGCCCCAAATATCCTTTGAGCGCCCAATACTCAACAGGTGATGCTCAAAGGTGCCACCTTCAGCGACAAGGAGATAATAGTAGCCTCCTCGCTTGTAGATATGAGGGCCCTCGGTATCGTAGCGCGCGAAGCCGCCCCATATCTCTCGGGCTTCAGTCAGAGCCTTGCCTGTCGCAATATCCATCTCGAATTGCTTGATCGTGCAGCTGGGCTGTTTGAGACGGTCTATCATCCAGCATCCCTGTACATAGACACGGCCGTCGTCGTCAAAATACAGACTCGGGTCGATACCATTGAAAGAAAAATGAATTGGATCGGTCCAATTGCCTGACCAGATATCGGTAGTGGTGATGTAGAAGTTGTCCAGAGAGAAGGTATCTTCATCGTGCGTCGCATTCGTGCAAATAATGTAGAAAGTGCCTTTGTGGTAGCGTATGGTTGGTGCAAAGAGGCCGGCGCTGGCTACCATGATATTCCCCGTATCGAGAGGCATCACTGCTGTGCTCGCATGATTGAGTGAGATTTGTTCCTTGCGATTGATGGCATTCCCTTGCCGTGTGTCAGTACCTGTGCTCATTAAGCTGGACTCTGGCTGGTTGGCCTACCAATATGCCTCCAGCCTTGAAGATCTGTTGAGGCGTAGATGGGCAGACCCGGAAATATGTGGAAAGATGAAGTTACCAGAAAGAAGACACCATCAACGAAGACGACCGAGGGATCTGGTGCGAATCCAGGCACGATTGGGTTGCAGTAAGTGCGCTTCATCGCCATCGTTGCAACTGAGCCCAGGATGAATCGGATTACTGACAACTGAAGTCGGGACGGGAATAAAGCAAACACATGTTAAAAGTCTCGAAACCTCAAGTTTATAGCCACATGCCTTTCCGATGTGGAAACATCTGATCAGCGTCTGGGGATCTGGGCCCGACATGGAGAAGTGGGCCAATTCGCCGCGGGGAATCGCAAACCACATCATTGCCCCGATCCGAATTGCCGACGAACGCCCTTCCCATATCATGACTCGCGATCATTGCTCAGCTCGTCTGATATTCTTGAATTTAGCCGGGCTAGAATGTCCAACAGCGTACTAAAGAGGGATCCAGCACGAGTGGATATGGCCTCGTTGTTGACATTGTGCATGATTTCGAGCAGAGCCACGCCGACCTGTCGAAGCTTTTCAACCTGTTCAAGAGTCAGCCGTTTAGTCTTCCCTAACTTGAGTCTCAGGAGAGCTGTCTTTACACAAGGTTCTCCGTTGGCTTGCAAGGCTTCAAAAGGGATGTCTGACACTGCCTCCAAGAGATCGCTCGCTATCTCGACTTTGCGCATGGCAAGCATCACTGGATCGTCTGTTAGCCCTAGAATCTCGATGAAGCCGCGTTCGAAGAAGCGATTGACAAGGACTAGTCGCAGTGTATGAAAGGTGACAAATAAGTTGGCTTTCTGAATTGATATTGCCCTGATTCGAAACTGAGCCGTAGCCTCGCTGGGTGTTCCCGAGACTGCAATTTTGGGATCACGAACCCAGGGTGGACAGTTGCGGAGAATACTGGTGAAGTCGAAGTATAATTGCATGGTAGATTTCTTCAAGTCTGATGCATCGTTCGAGATGACCGAGCGCAGCGATCCAGTTTTACCATGTATTCGTGATAGGAAGTTCAAGTCGACGAGCATTTCAGAAGCCGTATACCAAAGTTGGAAGCACAAGTTGAAACCCAGACGCAAACAGCGCTCAAAATCTATAGTTTCGGGTTCCGGGCCAGCCTGAATGAGTTTGTAATCCTCAGTTTCCTCGAATATAGTAGTGATGGGAGTGTCCAAACAGATCTGATGAAGCGAGATGGGGACTTTGTTCAGAATTGAGGCGGACTTGTCCCCAATGTAGAGATGCCAAAAGGTGTTTCTTCTTAACTGAGCCTCGGGCCACTCGAGATTTCGAAAAGATCCCTCGTCATACAATCGCATCTCCTGCACGAGTCGTAGTGCCTCTCCCATCGCATGCCATGACACACTGGTCTTTCCGAGGGCATGTAAGGCGTTGGAGTGGAAGTAACGGATGACGATTGAGCTCGACTCTGGGTGCTCAATATCATAGTCTTGATAAAGTCGAAGAGCCTCTCGCGACGTTCTGAGGAACGGCATCGCGAGTGCTGCGCCACCGGGAAATATCTCGACTGGCAGAGTAGAGGAGACCACTGCGCAGAGGGCCGTAAGGAGCGCAAAGGCCCGGATGGTTGGAATGTCTGGGTTGGAGTGGCTCGTTGCCGGGTCGCTGGTTAGCGAAATTTCCCTCCGGAGAATTGGAACCACAGCATGCATCATTTGCCGAACTATTGGTTCGCAAATGATGGGGCTGGTCGGGAACTCCCACTGCATGTAAAGGTCAATGCAGGAAGATAGGACGTCTTCTAGTGGGACATATGGCAGAGCTTTCCCCAGAGCTGAGAGAAGTTCGCCAATGGCTGCGTCGAATGGAGCATGAGCAGAATTCCTCTGTTGGGTAGGGCTATTGAGAGGTTGATTGTCGTTTGATAGACCGGCAACAAAGGAGTCTATAACTTGAGAATTTCCTGAAATAGACTCTTTGATACTCGGCCGGTTGTATTTCGTTTGAGCTGTGGTCTGATCCGATCTTTGAGCTCGAAATGGTGGCCCCCGTTTCTTCGCTGGGACGGTGTATTCGCAAGTCATGGATGACATTAAACAATCTGAGCATTGCGGGCTCTGCGCATCGCACTGTAAGATGTCGCATTTAGCCTGTGGTGGTCGGCAAGTTGCACTTGAGTCTGGTTTGCCCTACCTTGACCTTCCGCCGCCTACATCCATCGCAGGATCGTTTCGTCATTGAACTAAGCTGTCGGGTACAGAAATCCAAGCGCTTCGCAGAGTCGTCTTTGGCAATTCTCCGATGTGTCGAGTAAAGTGTGGGAAAGGGAAGAGTTGCTAGACCAATGCGTTCCGTGACCAGGATGTGGGCAGAGACCAACACTAAATAATCCGCCGCGGCGAATTAGCTTGACCATTCACAGCCATTCCAGACGATGGGTCTGCGGGGGTAGCATTGTGTTGTGGAGTAAGAAACTCTCAGGTGGCGTAACCCACGGGGAAACATGTGGTTTTGGTGTCCGCCATCTGGGCACAGGAGTAACCCCGGATCGAAGAGTGGTTTTGACTGAATACTGGACCTATAAGTAATCGAGGCTTTTCCTGATGGCTTCAGTGTCTTTCTCGTTAACCCCAGGGCAACTCAGGGAAGACATTGCTTATTCACGCGGGTCTCAAGACTCTTCTGATGTCTCAGACTTTCTCTCGAGGAACTTGTTAGCACCTTTTGCGACTTGGAGACGAATTGAACGAAAAGCAAAATGGCAGGAGTTTCAGAGAAGCCCGCAGGCTTTGCTGAGCTGTCCAAGAACAAGAGGGTCTTGGCTTGGTGTAAGCATTGCCTACGACTGACCAACTTGATCAGCAGAAATCGAGTCTGACCGCATTCCGTTAACAGGCCTCCTAATCTTCATTCTACCCATCAACTTCGGATACGAGCTTGCACTAGTTGGCAACATACTTGCAATCCCTGCCTTCCTCGACCGCTTCGGGACGACCACGACCTCCGGCATCAAGGAGGTTCCGACCCAAGATCAGCAAATCCTCAATGCCTCAACTACTGTCGGTATTGTGCTAGCCGCATATTGCACTGGGTTCATCTCGGACATTATCGGCCGCCGCATGGTGGTCATATGTGGCTGCGTTCTTTGCATTGCTGGGATTATCGTACAAGGCTTCTCGAACTCGATCTTGATGCTCTTTGGCGGCAAGCTCATCAGCACCGTCGGCTACGGACTGGGCCACGCTCTGGGACCCGTCTATGTCGCTGAGATTGCGCCAGACTCTCTGCGGGGAGTATGCCTTATTCTCATCAACACCATGATCGTCATTGGACAATGGTCTTGCGCTCTGGTCGGCTACGGCGGGTCTTTCATCAAGAGCGACTGGGGCTGGAGGTTGCCTGTGCTCGCCCAGCTGGGGCCTCCGTTCTTAATGCTGGTACTTGGAGGAATTTTACTGCCAGAGTCGCCGTCGTGGCTTCTAATGAAGGGCAGACGCGAGGAAGCTGGAAAATCACTACGCAAATTCAACGGCCCAAGGCACAACGTGGAAGAGAGTTTGGCAATGATGGAAGCTACGCTCGAAAAGGAGAGGGCGTTGAGCCAAGGTGGCGCCTCATACTTGGACTGTTTTCGAGGTACCAATTTGCGCAGAACTACGATCGTTTGCATGGTGTATTTGACACAGCAATTTGCTGGTGCTCAGCTGGTTGTGGGATACCTATCATAGTAAGTCTAGACCATCCGGGAGTTATTTGTTTACTAACAGCATGATCTCATAGCTTCTTTACTATTGCAGGGGTGGGAAATCCTATCGGTATTGCTCAGGTTTGTTACAGTATTCAGCTGCTTGGCAATATCTGCTCGTGGTTCTTAGTTGAACGAGTTGGTCGCAGACCACTGATAGTCTGGGGAACTATTGCTATGACGGCTCTGCTGCTAGTGATTGGTGGCTTGGGTGTTCCCAAGAGTAACCAAAGCGCTCTCACTGCCATGGTTGCACTTATGGCTCTTTGGGGATTCATAGTAAGTCAAGTCAAAGCGGGAATTATCCGTCATTCTTTTCCTTTCGCCGCTGATCATCAATGTTTAGTTCCAACTATCAATTGGTGCTGTTGGGTACGCTGTCGGTGGCGAAACTGCATCCCCTCGCCTTCCTCAAAAGACCTACTCTATCAATGTGATGAGCAATACAGCGGCCGCCTGTCTTGTCACGCAGCTCATGCCGTTTCTGATCAACCCCAGCAACGCCAATCTCGGGGGCAAGGTTGCATTCGTCTTCTTCGGACCGTCGCTGCTGTGTTCTATCTATCTCTACTTTTGCTTCCCAGAGATGAAAGGCCGCAGTTACTTGGAGCTGGAGAACATGTTCCAGAAGCGACTGCCAACTCGAGAATTTAAGAACTATCGTTTTGAGATTGAGACTGTCGAGGTTGATGATGGGGAGAAGGTTGCGGTGGTCCTGAAGGATTGACAAATTGATACACACAAGTGCCGATGACATTGTCCTGCCTGCTATGGGCAGGGTCTACAATAGCACCGAGTATTAATGAGCATTACTGCAGTTCTTGCCATATCTGGAAAAGGTCACCACACATGACCCCCTGCAATGAACTATCTCTACGTTTTGAGACCAAAGTCTTTACAGATATCTTCTATCGACGAAGTGGGGCTCGATGCCGTACTCGGGGTCCGTGATACCCGGAACCCGTAACGGTCGCCGGTTGCTTAAAGAAGTTATCACCCCAGCCTTTCGCTCATATCCTGTCTCCTACCTACTTGAGGCTGAGCCCAGTCGGTGCGTTGCCGTGATAGCCGTGTCCACTTTGCAAGCCTTGGCCTCTTCCATACCCAAACGTAGAGGTTCCACAAAGCTAAGAACAGCCTTCGGCCAGGCCGACGGTGCGTAAGTTCACTAATACTTTAACCGTAGAGACCTTATTTCCACCTCCGCCCCGCCTGGGAAACCTCCCACCGGGAAGGACCTCCTCCTATATATGCCATTTTGGGCAATATCTCCAGACCAATTACATAACGCGACGAAAGAGGCAGCCAGAATTATGAAGAAATACATTCTCTTTGATGGCTAGTCCAACGCTTTAAAACGAATTCATAGTCGTTACTTTCTAATCACTACCGATTCGAAAACCAACATACTCTTTGTACTGTTCTCCCTGCGGTTGTGACAACATTATGTCGACTGAATTTCCACTCCAGCAACACCGCGCTGGTGGTGGCCATCCAAGCGGCGAACGCAAAGGCATTCAGGAGAAGCTAGACGAATCTCTTTTGGGCCACCTCTCACAACTCTTCAACAAATATGCCACCACAAAAAACACATGGACTCGAGACCAGATTAGCATTTTCATGCAGCACGTGCAAGCCGAGGATCCCAATGGTCTAGCGGGTTACCTCATCGACAAAGACGAGCTGGATCTCTTCGAGCTGATCAAATATATCACCTCGCCATGCGGCAACATTCTCGAAATAGCGGCTCCTCAGGATCTGTCGTGGCCACTGAGTAGCTACTTCATCAGCTCGAGTCATAACACTTACCTCACCGGAAACCAGCTATCAAGCGACTCCAGCGCCGACGCTTACAGGGATGTCCTCCTCCGTGGATGTCGCTGTATCGAAATTGATGTCTGGGATGGCGAGGAGCGATACAAGCCTGGGTTCAACCCCGATGGAGAAAACGAGAACGACACAAACAACGCACCAACCAAGCTTAGTCGGAGGGACAAGTTAGGCATCAAGGTCGGCCGTTGGATCATGAACAAGTTTGACCCTGTGGACCCAGAAGGCAGGACTGCTGATGATAGGCTTTCGGACATTATTGGGGCGGAGCCACGGGTTCTTCATGGCTTCACTCTCACCAAGGAGATTCTTTTCCGCGAAGTTTGCCAAGTCGTCAAGGAATACGCCTTCGTCACGTCGGATCTGCCACTCATTGTCAGCTTGGAGGTGCACTGCACTCCACTACAGCAGGCCGCCATGGTCGATATCATGGAGGAGACTTGGAGAGAGTTCCTCCTCCCTGAGCCCGAGTTAGAGCCGGCTTCTTTAGCGTCGCCCGAACAGCTGCGCAGAAAGATCCTCGTCAAGGTTAAATACGTCCCGAAGGATAAAGACGGTGCCGAAAGCGTCAATGTAGACTTAGACGACGACAGCAGCAGCATCCTTGATGTCACAACGACAGAAGGTGGCGCGAAGAAGGCCGTGAAGGTCAAGCCACCCAAGGTCATCTCTCGCCTCAGCCGTTTGGGCATCTACACACGCGGTATTACCTTCAAGTCTCTTGAGCAAGCCGAAGCATCGATGCCGAACCACATCTTTTCCCTTTCGGAAAAAACGGCATTTGCTATTCAGAGAAGGATGCCAAAGGCCTTATTCTCTCATAACAGAGACTTCCTCATGAGGACCTACCCACACGGCATGCGGGTTGACTCGTCCAACTTTGATCCTGTTATCTTTTGGCGAGCGGGCGTACAGGTTGTCGCGCTGAACTGGCAGTCCTGGGATGTGGGCATGATTCTCAACGAGGGCATGTTTGCGGGTTCGGATGGGTACGTCCTTAAGCCTAATGGTTATCGGCGCGATCCTACGGGCGAGTCAGACGACGAAGATGTGGGATCCAACATCGAGAGCAAGAAATTGGACAGAGTCGCTGTTACAGTGCTGGCGGCTCAGAATCTTCCTCTACTCAACCCACATGATGATCCGACAAAGTTCATCCCTTACGTCAAGGTTGGGTTGCATACCGAGCCAGATGCGCTATCCGCCATGGTGCGTGAAGATGTGGACGGGGAGCAAGTCACACAGATTGGCTACAGTGGCCAAACGAGCAAGAGTACTGGCACCAGCCCGGATTTTGGCGGAGAGGTCATCGAGTTTCTGAACGTCGAGGGCGTTGTTCCGCAGCTGGCTTTCCTCTCATTCGTCGTCATGAACGATGTCGTCGGGCCGGATGTTATGACAGCGTGGGCATGCGTCCGCTTGGATAGGTTGAGACTTGGATACCGCTTCGTCAGGCTGCTTGACAAGGACGGTATGCCCAGCAAGGGCTTACTTCTCATCAAGACGGAGATCGCGGAAGCCGGCACCGAGTAGTATGAGCAAAGCAATCAGAATGAATTTCCTCCTTCGTTCCTTAACACTGAGCAATTATGGTGAGGCCATGGTATCGCATTGTACTGAAATAGATGTTGTAGAGCCAACTGAGTCTATAATCATATGATGCCTTTGGTGATATGAGAGGTATCGCATTCGATTAGACAATGACGATATCGGTGTGAAATAGTGCTTTGTAGTTAGAAAGCCGCGAAATTCTGCCGCGAACCGGGGGCTTACCGATGAACAAGGAATATGGAGCGTCGGACCTGTAGTCGGCTTCCTTCCGATACGCACTTGCTAAAGACTGATATCAATCTGCTCTTGGTGTGGTCAATATGCATCCTTTGACCCACATCAAGTCGGGTTGCGTGCTCGACTTCCAACAAGACGCAATGCCACCCATTCCGTGGCGCCATTGTTTAACGCGCGGAAACTCAATAAATTGGCGCCAAATCATCGAAACCCGAGTGAAGAGTCAACTTTTGTAGGATGCCAATGTCTCATATGAGCCTCAGAAGCGCAGGAGTTGCTGGAAATTGTAACTTGAACAATCAAGAAGCCACTCAGCACGATTTCATCGTTATTCCTGAGACTTCAAATTGAGCTATACCACGAAACGAATCAACATGGCTGGTAAGATTAAGAGAGTGGCCGTAATCGGTGCTGGGCCCTCAGGCGCAATTGCTACAGATGCCTTGGTCAAGGAACAAGCTTTCGACACAGTCCGAGTCTTTGATCGACGACCCATCCCAGGTGGAACCTGGTAAGCTGCACACTTATCTCTTCAACTCTGCAAGACTTCTAACTCTTGCCATAGGATCTATACTCCACACTTGCCTGCTAATATCCCATCTCTCAAAGCACTCTTAGATGGAAAGGCCGATGCTCCCGTTCCAATCCCATCTCAACTCCCAGCCCAGACACCCAAGTCAGAGGCTATCAACAGTCATCAGGTCCGATTCTCGGATACCGCTCAGCACGAGCATCTACACACCAACATTACCCCAGAGATTATGAGCTTTACCACTGAGCCCTTTCCGGAAACTCTGACTGAACGGATCCGAGAGAAGTATGGCGATGACGCTCCCTTTCGCGGCCGGGAACAGATCCGGGAGTGGGTTGAGAACATCTTTGTCCGTAATGGGCACCAAGAACTTCTCGAATTGAGTACCACCGTGGAACTCGCAGCCAAAGAGGGTGACGAATGGGTTCTTACACTGAGGAAAGAGCACCCTGGAAAAGACTACTGGTGGCAGGAGAGATTCGATGCCCTCATTGTAGCAACTGGGCACTACAACGTACCCTGGCTTCCGAGTATCCAGGGAATCACGGAGTATGACGAAAGGTTTCCGGGCCGTATTGTGCACAGCAAGCACTTTAGAGATTCCGATAAGTATAAGGGGAAGGTAAGTCGATACTACAACCACCCAATAGAAGTCCGGCGCTTATCGTACGCATAGAAAGTTATAGTCGTGGGAGGTTCGGTATCGTCGCACGAGATCCTACACGAAGTCCTGCCAGTTGCCCAACACCCGGTTTATGCTTCACTTCGTGGAGAGCCTCTGCCTCACTTTGGCTGGGCCCCTTTTACACACCCCCATATTTCTGTTCAGAAGCAGATCATCAAATTCGACCCAGATACCGGTGCAATCACCTTCGAGGATGGAACCGTAGTCGAAGGCGTAGACTATGTGGTCTTCGGGACTGGTTTCACTTTCAGCTTCCCCTTCTTGCCGGAGGTACAAGAACGCATACGTCAAGTTGACCGGAGGTTGTCGGGAGTCTACTTCCACACTTGGGATATCGAAGATCCGACCCTCGCTTTCTTAGGCATGGTAAGTTACTAGCCCCTGTTTGGTATGTGACGATCATGCTAACAGGCACGGTGCAGTGTGGAGGTGGCTTCACTTTCCGTCTTTTTGAATGGCAAGCAGTCGCGGTATCTCGTCTTCTGGCAGGCAGGGGCAACCCCTTACCATCAAAGAAGGAACAGAAGCAGTGGGAGAAAGACCGTGTCGCAGAGTTTGGTGGAGGCAAGGACTACTACACCATCGCACCATTCTATAAAGAGGTATTTGAGTACTTCAGGTCGGTGGCAGGAGACCCCGCGCCGGGGACCACAGGTCGCGTCTTGCCACCTTTCGACGACAAATTGTTAGACATTTGGGCGGCTATGGGTTCCGCGAAGGCCAACTTTTGGGAAGACTCCAGAAAGAAAGCAGAGGATGAGCTCAATGAACAGCCCATCAGATCGAGGTTGTAGATTTCACAAGTCACGCATTGGCGATATAAGTTTTGGCGTCGCTGCCTCCCGTCGTGACGGCAAGCGGGTTACTGCAAATTGCAGTGTTCGTTGCGCGCAAAACTGGATAAAATTCGGTACTTCGGAACGCGTCCAAGCCGCAAATCTATCTTGCGCTTCCGTCTGTAGCGCGACGCACTTTTCAGTCTTAGGTAATTATCACTTTGTTGCGCGAAAGCTTCCGGTGATTGTTGTATTGGAATCAGAATGATAAGTCGAGAGAGCTGCAATGATTCCCCTTGGTTCTCGTCACGATCTAAGCCAACTCGTAGCTATGAAAATGTTCCGCTGTGAAAACTCAGAAAAGAAGTTTCCGGCCATTATCAGCTTCCTTCAGAGAGACAAGCAATCAAATTCCATGTCGCAACTATCAGACAACTCTTACTTCCTCGAGGGCTTGATTGCTTCAACCGTAGCAGCGAGCATCTGCCCTGTCTTTTTCCAGAATCCTCTAGATGTTTCGCTTTCGCTTCGCGCAATCGCGCTCTCGACGGGAGGAGCTAGTCTACAGTCGCGACATAAGCCCGCTCCACCAGGTAGCTTCTCATCCTCACAGGTCTCGCGATACTAGCAGTCGAAACCAGATATGACACATTTGTCGCAGCGAAGAACGGCAACGTGTCCGATACGATGGCCGCAATTGAACGTGTAATACATGTTTTGACACATTATGGAGGAAGTTTAGGAGTAACTGGGTGACATAATCAGCATACAAGAACGAAGGTCTCCATGTGTTTTGCGCCTTACCTACTTCACGTTGAACTGGTTGGTAACTGTGACAATGACGTTCAAGGTGGCTTGTAATGCGTAAGTTGTGTGTGTAATGCGCAAACTTTTGCTTGTGTATAGTGACGGACTTTTGGTAAGATTGACGTTTTGTTTGTACGAGAGGAAGAAAAGAAGTTGACCCGGACAAGTAAGGGGCTAGCTTTCATAAGACTTTTCAAGGGGAAATGCAGATGAGCGAAATGGCTAGCCAGTGTCGTGATTTTCTTTGTGTTTGTGATGAACTTCACCTTTGCTTGTGTCTGGCCAAAACGTGTTCACCTTTATTGATCCACACGATGGAGGACCGTGATCAAGTGCTTCACCTTTTATCCTAATCAGGCAATTTACGACCCCCTTTTTCCCTACTAATCTAAAGTCCTCTTCACCTTTATGATTTGTCCGTGTCCAAGTATTTTCGGAAGAATCTTATCGGATTTTTGGGAATTTCCAAGACGGAGGAAAGGAGAGAGGAAAAGAACTCAATGCGAATACACTTTGAGTCCGATATTGTCAAGCCACAGTTCTCGAGACGCCCTAGGTCAGCCGTGGCTGGTGCGCAATCGCCTGTTCCCTTTGACGCCACAGCCACGGGGTGCCGGTTATTTACCCTGTAGTTCCTCCCTTTCTCCGGAGCAACTACATCACCATCCCATAGCGCGACGTCAATTGAACTACACCTTGTACTCATTTTGCTATGCCGCTTGAGAGCAAGACAATCGTCAGAACGGGCGACAAAAGGCGGCGCGACGATGAGGTTTCTAGCGATGATCGCCCCCATCAACTTCGTCGACTTCATGGCTCACAACGTGAGTCCGACCGCCCGCCTAGTGCAGTGGACTTCGCCGCTCTACAAGCTCGAGTAGATGCGATTGAGAAACAATTCTGCAACCGCCGCCATATTCCCAATGAACAGGACGAAGTGCTTATGCTGACGCCATCGGATCAAATGCATATCATCGATGATCAGGATAGTCGACCTTCGCTAAGCGCCCTGCGTAGGGAGACACAGTCCCTACCTGTGCATATCAAGGGTGCCTTTCCAGCTTCGGCTTTTCTCGACGGCGATCGATTCCATACTGAGGCGTTCCTTGAAGAACTGTACCGACCAAATTTCTCAATACCTGAGGTAAGGCTCACAGCTTAGTTCACACATGGTTGAATATCTAATATCATGGATAACTGAAAGGCTATCCTATCGCTCGTCAATGAAAGCGACAAGGTCAAAAACTCCTGCGACGAGTATTTCAAGACCATTCACATCTGGTTTCGGTTCATATCCGCCAAGAAGCGACTGGCAGCTCCATTCTCTGAAAATTGTGAGCCGGATATAGTCGCGCTTGCTCTGGCAATGAGACTCATGACATCCGACCCCGACGACAACACTTGCAGCTACTTGTATAAACAGACCAAAGGACTTTTGGACACGCTCGTAGCTAGAGGGGTTGTGTCCCTGCCAGTTCTTCAGGCAATGATCCTTGTCACACTTTACGAATATTGCCACGCGGTCTACCCTGCCGCCTGGATGAGTATTGGATTATGCACTCGGTACATTGAGCTTGTGGGCGTATCCTGGGCAACAAGAGAAACGGCTTTCCATGGGTCAGTAGACACCGTTGCGCTGAGAAAGCCTGTAAGTATTTCGGATCCTTTGACGGTCTCACAGCGTTTATTCATGGTGAAACTGGCATTAACTGGACAGATACAATGGTTCGAAACGGATGAGGAAGAAAGAAGGAGATCATGGTGGGCCGTCTTTATCCTTGATAGACTTATGTCTGTCGGAAGCAAGAGTCCATGTGCAATATCAAGAGCTCAGGAACACATTAAACTCCCGATGCATGACGACAGTTGGGTTAGTACTTGTTTACGAGCACTTGGCCATGAATAGTGCTGTATTTCGTTTGCTCATGATCAATTCGCAACAGGAATCCCTGGACTATGATGTAGTCGGGGACCATGAGTACGACTGGCAGCCAGTAGTCTCTGCAGAACACTCCGGGTTCTCACGACTCTGCGAAGCCGCCCTCCTGATTGACAGCGCACTTATACTATCTCGCATTGAGGGCACACTCGATCAGGTTCATATTGACGATATCATCAGCCATTCAAGGAAAATTCTGAATTGGATCGATACTGTCGACCAGGAGTCAAAATCTTTGACCGGCACCGACCTCACTCTTCGACTGATCGGACCTCGCTTCGCCGCTCGCTCGGCTCTGTTCCTCTGCGTCAAAAAGCTCACCTTGCGGGCAAAAGTTACCCTAGACGGCACATACCTACTGAAGCCCCATCACGGTGACAAATCAGAGAGTCGTGAAATGGAGAAGATAGAGAAATGCTCAGCGAGACTTGTCTGGCAGGCGAGTCTGGACATACGAAACATTTCGAAAGCACTCTACAACCAATTATTCGACGGTAATGATCCCATCGGAAATTTAGGTATCATATCGCCGTTCATACTTGATGGGGTGTATAATGCATCCTCCAACCTCCACCGGCTCTCAGAGGATGGAGATAGTAGCCAATCTGACGTACTGAGTTTAACAACTTTCTTGGATGAGCTCAGTATGCGATGGAGGTCTGCAAGAGAATACAGGAGGTTGTGTGAGGACAACGTGGGCAATATGCCAGGACTGGTGGAAAAGAGTTGATCAAGTTGATGCGTACCCTACTGAAGGTCGGGCGAGACGTATATATCAATTGATTTCAGGGGAGAACTGCTGAACAAACTAGACAACTTGCCCTCTCCCTCGATTACTGACACCAAGCTTCACCACTCACTGCACGCCACTGTCTCATTTACCTTTCCATGACTCCTCAAAGACTTGAGCAGCCGTTGTCGGAACAATGTCCGGGAACTTAGAGTTCAAAGTGTCTTCGATAGGAACAAGAAACTTCCCGATGCCAGCATAATAGTGAACCTTTGCAAACAGGGCCTCCGACTCTTCGCGACTGAGCTCGAAATCAGGGAAGTCCTTAATGAAGGAAATCTTCCCTGACTTGAGCTTCTCCAAGTCATCATAAGCAACCCTGAATCCGGGACCTGTGTGCAAGTTTCTGTCAGTACGAATCCGGGAATCAGGCAGACCTCAATACCTCACCTCGTGTCTTCTCTGCCAATTCGAGTATCTCAGATATCGAGTGGTTCTGGGCTACAATGCTGCTCACTTTGGACCACTTGTCAAGACCTACTAGGCGAGCAATGTACTTCGCCATATCCTGCGTTGTGATAAAATTGGCCCTGGCTGAGCCGTCACCAGGAATGACAGCCCACTTCTTCTCCAAGTTGACGAAGTTGACCCATGGGTGGAGATGCGTCTTGTAGTGTGGCATGCCAAAATAATCCAAGAAGAAGCCGTTCACAACTCGAGTATACTCGATATTTGTCTTATCGAGCTCTTCAATTGCCTCAAAAGCGTATTGAGCGAGAGGATAATGCGAAATTTGGCTAGGTCATTGTTAGCATCTACATGTCATTAGGTTGACAGAGAGGCATGGCCATACTCCCTGGTGTGTAGCATGTCATAGGCACTGACGATGAAGCGGCGCGTCGAGCTGGACGTGTTCGATGCTTTGACCAGGTTAATTTGAGCCTGGTTGGTCTGCGGCGTGACAACACCCATAGCGGAAATGACGGTGTCAATTTGGTTCTCTTGCAAGATCTTGCTCATTCCTTCCACGTCCTGATAATCAACAGCGAGAAATTGTACCCCATCCTTTGGTTCTCGGCTCTGTACAATCGAGTGTCAGTAAATACCGTGATGATACGGACTAGATGATCCCGTAAACACTGACCGTTCTTGAGAGAACGAAGACTTTGTGGCCGCCGTGAGCAACGATGCCCTCGACGATAGTTTTGCCTACCGCCCCCGTGCCGCCTGCGACAGCAATAATAGCCATGGTGATCTATAATTCGATGCTATTCGTAGATGATCAAATTGTTAGGGTGAAGCGGACAACTTTTAACTGAGGTGATTGTAATGAGAAATACTAAGTAGCTTGAGTTGGAACTGATAGTTTTATAGTGCTCTTCACGCCTTGGTCGCTAGCCTCTTGTTGCTTTCAAATCCAGTCTTTTATTTACAGAGTAGAGGAAAGCATAATCTTGAGCTTGCCTGGCTAGCCTTAGAGATCAACCACGGAATGGCAGAAAGCTGCGTGTTATGCAAGAATCGACTAAGGTCTGCCCAGGATCACTATTGGAGAAATGATGGCGAATGCACCTCGATGGGCTCGGAAGTTGGAACATGTTCCTAATAGGGAAAAGTGCGGGGAAATACGGCGCGAGCCATGATACTTTGATGTGGATCTGCGCGGCAGCGGGCGGGAAATAAGTTCCTTAGACCCCGACGTCTTTGATCCCTTACTCGTAGATCATGTTCCCCGGCGTTCTTTCGAAAGTTCTAGCATCACTCGCCGAACTGCGACGTGCGACGAGAATACGAATGGTAGTAATGTCGCACGCCGTCAAGGTGCCGGTGCCAAAAGCAACACCAAGCCGACGATATCTATTACCAACACAGGAGTCAAAACAGCGAGGAATCAAGATGCCCGGAGGGTGGTGTTGAAGGAAGCGGCGTGGTGTTTGCGGTATTCTGCGCAATGGTTCTATTTATCGGTCTGCAAAACATAGCCGTAGTTCTTTTAGTCTTACTTCTCCTAGCAACACCTTCGAGGGTACACGCCTTCTCAGTTTGGCTGGGCCTTCTGCATTTACCTGGTTATTACCTACCTGGTTTGCATCTCAGTAGGAATCATAGTTGCATGTACCAAACATGGGCATCGCGTTCAAACTGCTGTTGGCAGCATCATCATGGTCGGCAGTTTTGCCGTCTTTCCTTTCTGTGACAGTAGATTACAACGCACTGCCCGCCTCAAGCAGACAAAGACACTGACGAAATTAAAACAGCCTACTAATAATGAGGACGATCTTAACCTCCTAGGTCCTTGCTGGTCCTTGCGCGTCTTTGATGAATGCCCCCTACGTTTGCTTTCATTGGGCTTTGATTTAACAAGAGACGGGCTCTAAGGTAACTCTGGTAATTGTCACAACTGGCGGCTCAAGTGGGGGCATTGCTTGACTCCTTGTTTTGTAAGCAGCACTGCAAGAAGCGTGCGCCTCCTGGCGTTATCATACCTACCTTGTACTTGCAATCTCGACCAAGATATGTCTATGAATGCGTTGTCTCGCAGCAAAGCTTTCTCTACTTTTTGGTCAGACTCTTACTTGCTAAAGGACATGAATTCTTGTTTCATGGCTAGGGAATATTTTCATGGAGTGTGGATTGCTTACGCCCCTCGCGCCTGTAGTGTCATTTTCAGCAAGTAAGGGATAAACCGCCAACGCAAGCTGGGCATCAACAATTCTCCTCGACACCAGCAGCGTTCTCGAGTACGTCGGTCGCCTTTGCTTCCAGTTGGGGCTCGTCAGTCATAGTAACGTGAGTCCGAACAGTGCTTGTATCGGTCGACATCAATACTACAGTCGGAACTACGGCCGCCACTTGTACGCGGCCATACTCCTTTCTAGAATCAGAACACTGAAAGGTATTCCTGTCAGGGGGTCTGCTCTTGGGAATCGATAAGGGTTCCGGCATCGAATAGACGTCGTTTATTCTGTTCTCGGTGCCTTTATACACTGTGTCTCTCATCTTCCATTATATCACAGCGAGAACAATGGTTTGTCTGGTCATGTAAAGGCCAACCACAAGATTGAGAGAATTGCTACATGTATTCAGGCGGCCGGGACCTTCATATGTGTGGAGAGCATCTGCAACGTAAGAATCATGTGAAATTCGATGTTTCAGCAAAAGATTGGCTGCACGCACAAAAGGAGGGAACTATTCCTTCACCATCATCATTCATACATTGAAGACAACATTCACTTCACACAAGAGCAAGGGTATTCTTCGAGGCGTGCGAGTTTGAGACATAATCTCAGATTACATTCATTCCGCCCGTTGATTCAAGAGTAGCTAAGAAACGAGACCCCTGCATAAACCCCTCGTGGACGGATGCTCATATCCGGCTGACCTTCCACCCCCCGGAAACCCGATACTGAAAAAAGCCATTCGGGTCGTACTTCGCAGCCGCATCCTTGAAAAATTGTACATTCTCTGCACCATACGATCCAATGACGTCTTGTTCTGGGTTGGCATAGTTCATGTATAGAAAGGTCGAGTGGCCTTCAAATGAAGCTGAGTATGCTCTGAGTTCCTCGATAGCCCTACCCATCATACTCTCAACAACGCCTCCATACTCTGCATCAGTAGCTGCTAGGGTACCTCTAGCCTCAAAGAGAATTGAGTCCGAGGGTAGGTTCTCGTCGAAGCCTAGTATGTTGTTACCGGGCGTGACGGCGGCGAGGTTCTTCGGGAGGGGTTGAAAAACAAAATTGACGGAAACTGGAACACTGGTGGCATCGAACTCTTGTGTCAAAGTCACGAAGATTTCGGCAGCTTTGTTCATGATTTCCGCAGTGGCTTGAAGGGACAGAGAGAAAGGGATGTAATGCGATCCACCGGTGTCGGCAACGGTCGCCGCAATCTTACTGAGAGGTTGCTTAGATCTCACGTCCCTTGTCAGGGTAATGTCATTGAAAGGGTCAAATGTCGTCGAGTTCTCGTTGCCATCAGTGCTGACTGCCATGGCCATCACAGCCAGGTTGCCGGCGTCGGATCGATAGACGACAAACTCGTGGTCGGGACTGCCGGAACCGATTGAGCTAGCATAGCTGACAAACTGGTCAATCACGACATTCAAGTCGCTCCAGGATGCAAAGAGTAGGCCACCATAGGCACCAGTAGGGGGTACGGTGAAGGTCCTGAGGTCGAAACGAGTGACAATGCCCAAGTTGCTTCCGCCTCCCTTCAAAGCCTTGAAGAGATCTGCGTTCTCCTCTGTATTAGCCTCGATTATCGATCCATCGGCGAGGACGACCTCATAGCCGACTACATTGTCGCATGAAAAGCCATAAAGCTGCGTGTGGTAGGAAGCGCCGCCAGACACGAGCAGGCCACCAACGCCGACGTGGCCAGATCGTCCACCTGTAACTCCTAAATTGTATGGCTCGAGGTAGGCCATGACGTTTCCCCAACGGGCAGCAGGGCGGATCTGTGCGATATTCTTCCCGGTATCAGCTCGTCATTCTACAAAATCACGACAGAATTTCACTTACCTTGGTCAGGACGCTTCGGCCTATCCAAACAGCAGTACCATTGAAACAACTGCTCTTGACAAGCTCAGTAGAGTTGAAAAATGTGAGATCGATAGTGACACCTCGGTGAGCAGCGTTGTTGTCGTAATCACTATGACCACCAGAGCGAATAGCTACGTCCCAGTTCCCGGCACCGCTCACGCCACCCAGAGCCTTGATGGTGGAGGAAACATGCTCGGTCGAGCGCGGCTGCACGATACAGTAGGGTCGAAGTCGACGATTCTCTGACGAGTAGTATGTCGAGGTACTCTCAGTGTAGGCGATGTCGGTCGGAAAGACGAGAATATCCCCAAGCCCGGCATCAAAGAGGGCATCGCACTTTCAGTTTCAATCAGTGTCCGACATGCAGACGGAAGGCGCTGCAGATTCGTTGTAACCGAGAGCAGAGATTCTCCGTCAATAAGAGAACTTACAGCTTTGAACCCGGATGATGTGGTGTTCAGCTGAGCCAAGGCTTGGTCGAAGAGGCCCAGTAAGGCAGCTATGCCAAGATACTTCTTGAGCACCATGGGGGATAAATGAATGTCTCGGGTGAAAACACTAAAAGAAAGTGAGGGAGAGTGTGGTCTGGTGCTAATACTACGGCCTTCTCTGTGGTAAGAACGCCTGGCCGCGAGTCTTTATTTATTTGAAGCATGCCCAATAATAGTTAGAGATGCATCCGCCTTACTTCGTCAGTGATCTCTCCATTCTCCAGGCCTGAAATCCGCTTTGCGATATGTATGTGCAGAAACACTGCAGGCCGTTGGCATCGAAGCCACCGAAGCCACCAGTCAGATATCGGGACCAATACGCGGCACGGAGGACATCACAAAACAGGTCTTTGGACCATCGTTCCGAATAAGCTCAACTCATCATCCACCAGTCCTTGGAACAGCTCGGTCTCGCATCTTCAGTTCTTTGGGCAATGGTATCTTTATTCGGGGCGTACATGCGGCACAGCGCAGAAATCCTCAATTGGTTCCTTAGCGATTATGAAACGCAATGTCGCTTGTATGCAGCGGGATGATTTCAGGTCTTTACGAATTTCTGCCAAGGCGGAATGATACCAAGGACCCTAGAGGCGGATGAATACTGCAGTTTGTCGTTGGTCAAAGACCGTAGCAGACCGAGCTGCGCCGTTGCGGCGCATACAATTACGGATACCTCCTCGGACTTTGCTTGATATGGCTTTTATGCGGACCTTGCCAAGAGACCCTACAAGGGTCGGCTCATAGCTCCGCAATGCCTGGCCGAGATCAACATCACGATATGACTCGGTCTACAGGATGAGGTCCTGGGAGTAGATCTTGGTAAGCAACTCAGCATGCACTCTAGAGAGCCTGCGCAATAGCTTGCGGACGGGCATCCTGGCCTACTTAACTTCCTACCATGGTCCAAGTCTGGGTCAGATTTCCTGAGACAGACCTCCGCTTCGGACTCACGATGGGCTTTAGAAGAATCTCGGTGGTCTAGACGACCTGCTCAGATCTCCATCTGCTCGCTGTGGTCATGGCGTGGGCCAACAGCGATCTCTCGGTGCTTGTCCATGCAACCACATGGGTGGCAAGTCAAATTTCCTAAACTGAGGGTCCGAGGTTGCCTGCTTTGAGTTGAGCACCTATTCTGACAAAATTCTCGATCTTTAGATGCTCTTTCTATCGACTGTCTTCCTCGCCCTCCGAGTCTACAGTCGGCTCCGAAATACCGATATCGGGCTCCAAGCAGACGACTGGGTGCTCGTTGCAGGATGGTTCTTCTTGCTTCTAGCATCAGCAAACGTGTCCTGGTTGATGGCTGTGTTTCTTATTCGAGGAAACCTGCTGAAGATCACTATTGCCCGAACGCACCATAACCTTCAATCTGTCGCTCTAGGGCTGACGAAGACATCGTTTGGAATCACACTGTTGCGGTTGATGCCCGGGGGTTGGGAAGCAAAGCTCATATGGGGCGTTATCATTACGATGAACCTGCAATTTGCGATACATATCATCGCAACATGGCAGGCTATCTGCGGTGCACCAGACCTAGGACATATCGAAGGGGATAGGTGCTGGCGATTAGACCAGTCGGTAGCTTTCACTGTCTTCAGTGCATGTGAGTTATCACCATGTCTGGCAGTGGTATCCGTTTCTGATCTGTCTACTGCAGTATACTCGGCGATTTGCGACATTGCTCTTGCTCTTTTACCATGGAAGATGATCTTCAACCTACAAATGAAACAGTCAGAGAGAATAAGTGTGGCCGTGGCTTTAAGCATGGGGATCCTAGCAGGTGTTACAGGGGCTATGAAAGCTGTCCAGGGCTACATGCTGACCAACGTGAGATCTCCTGATTGTAAGTGGTTCATATCGTGTTGAAAACTAGCATGCGCTAACGTCGATTACTTTGCCAGATCTATACAACCAAGCAGTCTACTGGGTATGGTCTATGGCAGAACCGAACGTCACTATTATCTCAGCATCCATACCAGTTCTCCGTGGTTTCGTCCGCCAGGCCCGGAAACGAACAGAGTCCTCGCCGGGAGCTGGAGCATACGTCAAGACAGGGGATACAAGCGGAAGATTTTATAATCGGAGTACTGTGACGGCGACAAGAGCAGAGCCGAGAGATCAGGATGCTTCGAGTGACAGCAGCATACTGGTTTCGGGCC